GACTGTATTGGTACCACGTGCTGCGAGGAGTTGGTTGGCCATATCTCTAACAGTGCTGTACCGGGGCGGAAATCCTCGTGAATCTAGATCGAGAATACACTCAAGAATAACGGATTCTTCGATCTTTGTGAGCTTCTTTGAATTAGGTGTGCAGTCACATCGTGAAGGGATTCCAGCACATCGTCGACGAAGGGTAGTTTCAGGAGCACCGTATGCCCTTGCAGCTGGTTTAACCTTTTGAAATTGGCCTTGTGCAATAGCAGATTAGGCAAGGAATACTCGACTCTCATTTAAAAGTAATTGGGAGGAAGTTGGTTGATCCATCGCATGTTGAAGGTAGTAACGCGTGTGGTCACGCGATGCGCGCCGCTCGCTTGTCCGCGCCGCTCGCTTGTCAAGTACGTTATTAACTAGTAGAAACTATAAAATACCTAATAACTATAATTTATATTATATATACAAGTAAATACTTAAATTAAAAGCTAGCTACTTAGTAAAAAATATATTACTATACTTATATAAGTTAGTTAAGATCTATTATAAATGTATTACTTGTCTATAGCTACTAGAATATCTTTAGAGAAACTAGACAAAAAAAAATTAAACTACATATAATTAAAAAATAGTTTAAAATAAAAAGAATTCCATAGCATTTTCTTACTACAGCTGCAAATTAGAGCAAAACAACATGTGCGGCGTGGCGAGATGTTTCGACTACATACATCCTTGCACGGGTGACGGACCGAGTACTCTTCTCACCGCATAGCACCTGGTTGATACTACCAAAGGCCAGGGGGTTGAACAAGACAGGAAGGGTAATCAAGGTTAATGCTGGCCATTCTCCATTCATCAGCATGCCTAAATGGATTGCACAAGGTCTGATCGAAGAGGTTACATGTTGATTACCTAGACAAATCTTGACAAATGGTGTGGGTTTCCTGTGTGAGGCATCCTCAACTTGGCTTTTCTTCAATATGGCCCCACTCCTAAACCGTTGGCGGGAGATTGTGGGACTACGAGTTATAGAGACCGCCTGCTTTAGACCCAGGCTATCCAAAACCGAACGTGATTCTCCAAGTATTCCGCGTTGACCATTCGTTCCGGTTCGAAATCGATCTGCCACGTCTCATAGACTTGATTTCCAGCAGGATCGACTTCCCCATCCCGCACTATGGGCATCGTTGGTCTGTTTAAGATGCCAATGAACCCATCCTTCAGATCCGAAATGGGAATTCGTGCACCGTTGAGGAGGCAGCTCTTACTTGTTAAGCTGCAATCCTCCGATGGCAAAGTTGGACGGTGCTAGAGCAACGCATTCAATAGTATGTAGACCGAACCGCGCATAGGGAGCGTACGAGGGTGGCTTCCGCAAGACGTCGATGGACCATCTCCAGGTACAGAGGCAAAACGCGCCCACCTTCAGAATTCGGATAGGACTCCGCAACAGGTAATAGATTCATAGTCCCAAAACTTCAGCAAACACGTCTCCCAACCCAACCTTGTCAAACAACGCCCGCACCTCGCCCATCTCACCTCGGTTTCCCCTGTGGCCGCCCTTTGATATGTCGCCTGTAACTTCGCGCATATCATCAAAGACCCTTTTGACGTCTGGGCCGTCTTCTCTAAACCGCTCTGAAATCTTCTTTTGATGCGACGGCACATCTGACCAGCTCCTTGTCTTGATCTCGGACATGTATGCATCGATGTCTTCGGGGTGGCCTTCAAGACACAATATACCAGGTTTACCAGCGAGGACGACTCCAGTGAGCTTGTAGCTAGACGCCCAGTTCACCATGTCGTCACGCTTGGAACGTGTGGAGAGAGATTGGAGATAAAACCAGACGCGTACTAGGCCCCGGTTTGGGGAGTGACTTTGCTGTCTTCTCGATGGAGAAGCCGAGGTTGGGGGACCGGAGAGATAGAGGCTGCATTCTTGCTTCAGATAATCGACTGTTTCAAGCACGGCGTCAGGACTGCCGCTTGGCATCCGTTGTACCAGCTCGGAATGAGCTTTGCGGCTCATCCATGTTGGGCAGCGAAATAGGACAATTGGCGGTGGCGGCTCCTCGAGATCCTCGTTCTGTTCATGCGTAAGGCTGTCTGGACGTGATAACGGCAGTTGGATGTGCAGTTGGAATGCATGTTCCGGATCCACGGTAACGTTCAGGGTGAAGTCCAATGATGTGGGTAATTTCGGTGGCTGCGATAAAGAGGGGTATTTTTCTATGTACTGTCGAAGTTGTTGTATGCATCCGTGCTTGTAGCTACTCTGTTCAACCTCACCAGGAAGGCTGAACATGGAATGGAGCAAATCCAGAGTCAACAGTTGCTGCTCGAGCTGAGGAGGCGGCAGTGGTCGGAGGTTAGTGGAGGCCTGCATTTCACACTCGCATTTTCTTATCATCGTTGTCGAGAAAGAGAGAGCGCGTGAGTGTCAGCACGAAGCGTGGAATAAGACACCAATGGATTTTGGATGCAGAGACGTTTCCAACAAAGTCCAAGTCGAAATTATGCTCAGGGTTTGGGAACTGATCGAAAACGCCTGAGTTGAAAAGCGTTGGGAATTCAACAACGCACGGGCCATGATGCACTAAGGAAACCCTGGGAAATTGAGCGTTATTGAGGCACTCTGCTTCGACGAGAAACTCACCCGCGCCCTACGATCCCGGTATCGGGCGCGTTGCCGTCCTACGAAAGCCCACGGTCGCGACTACTCCGCTTCGACAATACATTTCTCAAATTCAGCGGAGAGGAGGTGAGATATCCCCATGTAGGCGAGGGCTCATTCATGCGCGAACGAACCTGTACTGTACACAGCGTTTGAAAGGCCAGCTGAGAAACAGGCCTCATGACATAGGGCACAAGTTCAGACACTCCGGCTCCACCAAAATGGGCTTTGCAAAAGCATTGAGTTACGACGGAGTCATTCCCCGAGGGCACGATATTAGGTCTTAGGTGAGGGTGCTGCTTGTTGTGCGTTCAGTCCTGAAACTCCGTTGGACAGCCATGGTTCTTTCAGCAGCTCCTTAGGCGTCTTCCTGTCACTCGGTTTATACTGAAGCATAGCTCGCAGAAACGCCTCAAACTGTTCGTAGTCATGTGTTGTCATAGAGGGGTTCCTAGTCTGTGCCAGAAGAGCTCGCCAATGAGCAGGGATATAGCTGCTTGATGTGCAATAACTGGCCTGAAAAGCAAATTTAGAACCGGTACAGGTGAGCTGATTTCTGCTCTTACCATTCTCATCAAAATACTTGCTCGAAAATTCGCCTCTCTTCCGCAAAGACGGCGGAACTGGACCAAACAGCTCAATCATCTGAGCTATCTGGTCTTCTTCGGCTGTCCAGACATCTTTCGGACCGGGTCTACCTCGGAACAGTACTCGTCCCTGAAGGAGTTCGTACATCTGCTTCTCATAAGTAGACGAGCTCAAGCCAGTCTGGGGAGACGTACAACGCAAGCGAAACCCCACACGTCAACACTATTGTCCCATGGAGCACCAAGAAAAACCTCTGGAGCACGAAGGGACGGTGGTTGGATCCAGTCGGTCAGGTGTTTTGTCCTTCCAGGAAGCTGTACGCAATGAATGAATCAAGTGCCTTGAAGATGAAAGAAAGGGAATTGAGAGATATTGGCACATACCAACGCCGAAGTCAGTAATTCTGATGTTCAGCTCCGGTAAGTCGGATACTGAATCAGTCACTATTGGCCGCGATATCAGGAAGAGTTATCTAGGCGGTCGTTGGTGCGTCGTTCCAATTTAACAAGATGACTCCGAACGGCTTCTTCTACATCCGGAATCTCGATTAGGATGTTATCCGGCTTGATATCTGCCGAATGCTGTTAGATGACAGTTCGAGATGAGCCAATGCCATACCTGTGTGAATGATTCCACAAGAGCCGTGAAGCCAGTCAAGCGCATGCAGAAGCTGTTCGGCAATTCGTCGTCCCAAGTGCACAGGCAGCTGTTTATTTGGACAACGTTGTTGCACATTCAAAACACTTTGCCCCATGAGCTGTAGAACAAGACAGAGATGGTTTCCATTCGGACCCTTGTGAACGAAGCTGTCCAAAAGATGGACAACGTGTTTGTAGCCCGGATGCCGAGGATCGGTGCGACCTATGTGCTTGAGGATGTCGAGTTCGTAGACTGGATTCGAGCTCCCATACGAATCCGCGGTCAAAACCTTTTGCGCGACATAGTTGGGTGATTGAGAACTGGTTTGATCATTGTTATGAGCTATGGGAACAACTGGCGAGAACTTACGTCAAGTCTTTGGCCAGCCAGAGGGTCGAGTAAACACCATAACCGAGTTTTGAAATAATCTGGTACCTGTCATTGGAGACCTCACCTAGATGAACCGGATGGTAGCCACCGGGACGGTACTCTCCTGGATTTTCTTCGGACTTCACAGAAGACGAGTTGCAAGGTGTATGTAAATGGCGAGGAATCAACCAAGCGAATGATGAACGAATGGTGTCCATTCTTGGACTGCGATGTCGAGGTGCCACATGAGTCTGCAGGCGTGACAGGCGTTGACGGGATCGCAATATGTGTTGCCTAGTAGTCAATGACCACATTTCTGGTCGTCTGAATTCAGGGTAACGCCATCGGCGGTTGAAGCTCGTTCTGGTGTTGTTTCTTGGTGGCATCCGGACCATTATTGAGTTGTTGTCATCGTCCTCCTCACCTCCCGGCTCGCTTCGTCGCGATCGACACAGGGGTCCCTCCTTCGGGTTAGCTGCGACATGCTCTCTTCATTGTCTCCCACGACTCCTTGCCATACCCCGTACTCTGTTCGACAATGATTCAAATCCACTTGGAGCAAGTCACTCGCCACCGTTCACCTCAGTAACCGCCATAGTTCAGGGTTCTTCGATGAAACATCAATGCAACTCACGAAAGTCCGAAACCCCTCCAGTGACAGTTTCAGCATCGACCTATCCCTTATGCGATTGCTCCGCGCCCCTATAATTCAAACATGCGGCGAAGACTGGTTCGATGGGAAGACTTGTTGTACCGAACCACCCGTTCCGGAACCTGCCAGGAGAAGTTGGGAGAGGTTCGGCGGCTGTGACTGCGCAAGGCTGTCTCAAATGACGCCTTCCCACGACGCGACGATGAAGGGGCAACACTCTGCGTCATGATGGAAGCGATAACGAAATAACGGGAGGTGCGCTTCGCATGCGAGCTGGGTACAAGTATCCTGTCCCGTCCTGTACGGAGGACTTCGCTCCTCATCACAGCTTCTCAGTTCCTACTTTCGCTTCTTGCTCCGGCATCTTACATTCTTTCGAGTCTGGTCACTCTTTTTGTTTCAATTCTGCATTCAGCATTTCAAATACCCGTGCCAATTCCAGATACCAGTCACCATGAAGACCGCTGTTATCCTTGCTTCCGTCTTTTCCCTCGCCCTGGCCGGCCCCATCCACACCCGGCAGAACAACCTCCAGACCTTCTCAGGCGCGCTTGGTGGCATCGAAGCTACCCCCATTGTCGACTCGGGCAACCCGAACCGCCCGTTCCAAGTGAAGGGTGACACCTTTGTGAACTTGGCTGCCGCGCTGCAGAGGTCCTGCGACCAGCAGTTCAATGCATGCGCAAATGCGGCGAACGGTGGAGATCAAAGTCTGAGCGTTTCGGATTGCCAGGCCCAGAAGGGTGAGTTCTGTGTATGACGTGAACAATGCAAAAGCTGATAGGTATCAAGACCAGTGCAGTGCGGCTAGCAATGGCAACAACGGAAATGGGAACCAGGGCCAGAACCAAAACCAGAACCAGAACCAGAACCAGGATCAAGGCCAGAATCAGAACGGCGGAAACGCAGGGAATGTCTGCAGGAGGAAGACCAAGAGGAACAACAAGCAGTGAGAGGACGACTTTGCTGGACTCTATAGGGATTGGATGCTAGTCTACGTCCGGCACTACAAATAGACAATTTCTCCAATAAGGATATAGAAGCATTCATTATTGTATTTGGACGAGAACAAGCAAACGTACGGCGGCTTTCCACACGTCCAATTAAACAACCGCTGCAATTCCTCTGCAGGTAGAGTTACCTACCTGGCGCAAGTCAAATAGCTACGACGTAATAATGCTACAGGTAGAGTTTTGTTCTGGTTCTTACGATGGTAAATAGTGGTGCGCTATGAAGCTAACGATTGCAAGACCTGCTACAGTATATTGTTGCGCCTGCTGGCGGTTTGATTGGACAGAGGAATGGATTCGATTGATTAGTTCGACGACCCGACGCTGTCAGGCAGAATAAGGGAAGCCGTGGACTAGTAAGAAGTACGATTTAGGCATGCCGGTTGTACTGCAGGGAAAAAAAACGTCCGATCTGGATGTGCAGCCTCGCTATGAAGGATTTCCACCTTCACCCACCGGCCTACGGGTCGTTGGAAGGCCCAAGCTCTACAGAGCCTTTTTAGCACCCGCTGGCGGATCAGCAAACTTCTCGGCCCGCCTGAATTCGCCATGGGCGTAGGTAGTAGGAGGCGTGTGGTGCAGCCTCTGTTGCGTGGTGCTAATATGAGATGGAAACCGAGTCGGGCTGGGGAGCGTAGGGACCGCCTGCCGGCAGAGCACAGCCAAACGAAGAGAAAAGCAAAGAAAATAGAGCGTGCCAATGGCAACAATAATAATAACGCGTGGGATGTTGTTGTGTCGTAAATAATAATAAGTAACTTAATGCTCAAGCCTAATAATAAGTGAGGTTCGAGTGCACGGAACCTTGTCCCCTGGCGAGGCTTATCTTTCGTCATCGAAGGAAAAAAAAGTGATCCGTCTCTCCTCGACCCAACCACCATCACCGGCCACCACTCTCCCATCACCGTCCCCATTCGTGTCCTTCTCCCTCAGCTCGACGTCCTTGCGGCCTTCCACAGCCCAATGGCCCCCAACATGCGGCCCCTCGCCACCTCGGGAAGTCTTCTCTCGCAGCAGCTCTCACAAGCAGGACGCCGGTCCTATGCCACATCGCGGCCAGCTTTGCTCACCAGCAGGGCTCGCTGGGCTGCGCGGCCCACATTCCACCAAATAACTCTACGGCAATCAATTAGGCGGCAGTCAACTGAGGCTGGCCCACCGCCTCCGGCTCCCAAGAGGCGGTTCAGAGTATTGCGCTGGACATGGCGCCTCACATACATGTCGGCCCTCGCAGGGTTGGGATACATGGGCTATGGCATCTGGGAGATGCGGAACCCAGAAGACCAGCCTGAGCCGGACCCGAACAAGAAGACGTTGGTCATTCTCGGTGGGTGCTCTTTCGCTGACTTGCCCTGAGCCGAGTACTGACTCATTCTCAGGAACCGGCTGGGGATCCGTATCGCTGCTAAAGAAGCTCGACACCGAGAACTACAACGTCATCGTCGTGTCGCCGCGCAACTACTTCCTCTTCACCCCGCTGCTCCCGTCATGCACAACCGGCACCATCGAGCACCGCTCCATCATGGAGCCGATCCGCAACTTCCTGAGGCACAAGAAGGCTGCAGTCAAGTTCTACGAGGCCGAGGCGACCAAGATCGACTACGAGAAGAAGGTGGTTTACATCAATGATCAATCCGAAATCAAGGGAGACATCTCCGCGACCGAGGTGCCCTTTGACATGTTGGTTGTGGGCGTGGGTGCTGAGAACGCGACGTTCGGTGAGTTACGTGCCCTCCCCATTTCAATCAAGCTAACAATTTCAGGCATCCCCGGAGTGCGCGAGCACGGCCTTTTCTTGAAGGAGGTGGGCGATGCGCAGCGCATCCGTAACCGCATCATGGACTGCTGCGAAACGGCCACCTTCAAGGACCAGGATCCCGAGGAAGTCAAGCGCCTGCTACACATGGTGGTAGTCGGAGGTGGCCCCACGGGCGTCGAGTTCGCTGGCGAGCTGCAGGACTTCTTCAACTCGGACCTGAAGAAGTGGATTCCCGAGATCAAGGATCACTTCCATGTCACCCTGGTCGAGGCACTGCCCAACGTGCTGCCCATGTTCTCCAAGCAGCTGATCGACTACACCGAGAGGACGTTCAAGGAGGAGACGATCACAATCCGTACCAAGACCATGGTCAAGAATGTGACGGAGAAGTACATTGAAGCCGAATCGACGGGCCCGGATGGCAAGAAGCAGACTGAGCGTCTCCCTTACGGCCTTCTCGTGTGGGCGACCGGCAACGCCGTCCGGCCCGTCGTCAAGGACCTTATGGAGCAGATCCCGGCGCAGAAGGACTCGCGCCGCGGCCTCGCCGTCAACGAGTACCTCGTGGTCAAGGGCACCGAGAACGTCTGGGCTGTGGGCGACTGCGCCGTCGCCAACTACGCCCCCACGGCCCAGGTCGCGGCTCAAGAAGGCGCGTTCCTTGCCCGCATGTTCAACAACATGGCCAAGACGGAGGCCATCGAGGCGCAGCTAGCCCAGCTCTCGGAAGCTCAGGAGAAGGCGCCTAACCAGGAAGCGCGCGAGAAGGTTTTCCAGGAGATCAAGGAGCTGCACAAGAGGCTGCGTCGGGTCAAGCAGATTGGGCCCTTCCAGTACTCGCACCAGGGCTCGCTCGCATACATTGGGTCGGACAAGGCGGTGGCCGACATCACGTGGTACGCGGGCAACCTGGCGACTGGCGGCACCATTACCTACTTCTTCTGGCGGAGCGCGTACCTGAGCATGTGCTTCAGCACGAGGAACCGCGTGCTGGTCGCCGTGGACTGGCTCAAGGCGAAAGTCTTTGGCCGCGATGTGTCGAGAGTGTAAACGAACCCCGGGCTCTGGAATTCCCGTTGTCGCAAAAGTCGTTCTAGCGGTGCCCCATCTGCATATACCTTCACGCGAGCTCTGGTATCAAATCGCCTGGAGCAATTCTCACGTATTTGCTGCGATGTAATAATTCTGTGTAATTTGAGTTGGTGTAACCTGGGTTGGTCTGGGTTCGATTCACTCCGCTGAACATGGCGTTTCTTTCCGGCGAGCAAGAGGTTATAGAGCCTTGGTTTCCATTTGTCCGTAGAAGTGAGGGTGCTTTGGGTAGCAGCTTTGGGTAGCATGTAGAGTCCAGGGGGAAAGTCGCATTTAATAATTCCATGTCCAAGACGATACCTCCGCACCGTCTTCATACAAGTAAACATATTTATCCCCTGGAAATGCCGAGGCCTGGCGCTGATTAGTGGCGGGGAACATTCACATCTCCCCCCCACCAAACCAGCGCCCAGATAAGCAGTTGTCGGTCCCCTTATCGCTTCCCAACGCCCAAGGCCAGTCACGCAGCCCTCCAGCATGCCAGAGATAGCGGCAAGCGGGCGCGCGCGACTGGCCTCCTTTGTGGTCATCCGCCCTGATCCTACAGTATGCGCCGAATAACCTACTAATGGTCCTGTCTCTTCTGTTCCCCTCAGATGCTTACGCTACTGACGACTCTCCCCCGTCTCCGCCGTCTCCGGTATCGCCCAGGCTGTGTTTTGTAACTGTGTCGAGTGTCTCCAGTACTTTGTCCACTTGCTCTCTTGCTTCCTGGCCGTCACGCCTCCTCTTCCGTTAACATAAGGACGTCCGAACTGGTTCAAAGGTGCCGACCTAGCCGGGCTTCCACGCATCTTCACTGGACTCCCGCAGCCTTCCCGCCCCTGGAACGACCAACACCGAGACCACAAACCAACACTCCTCGAACACGAGGAACAGGAGCTTTCAGATAGTCCATCACCGGCGAGTTCCAGCTGACAGGAGAAACCGAGTCTCCAACAAAGCGTCCGCTCGGAAACAGCTTACGACTGCGCCCCCGTGGCTGTGACTCACCGACCCGCAGCTCGACGCCTGATCGATCGCCTGCCTCTGTTCTGTTAACACGAGGAGGCTCTTGAACGCATCCCTTAAGGCATACGGCCGGGGATTGTGTTCTTGGATACTTCACATCCCCAAAAGGACACAGGCGGCAGCGGGCGTTTTATATTCAGAGAAATCCAGCGCACCGCGGCGCTGGGCCGGCCGGACGACGCCATTCCTGCGTCCATGACAACATGCCGCCCTACCTCTCTCCTCTCCACGTCGTCCAACCCTCCTTACCAGCCCACTGCGAACCCACCAACGCGTTCCTGCACCACCTCTCCGCGTCCTTTCACACGTGCGTCCCTACCAACCTCGCCCTCCTCTCCACCGTCCTCGGCACCTGCAGCATCGTCGCCTGGCTCTTCGCCCAACTCCCTCAGATATACAAGAACCATAGACTGCAATCCACGTCGGGCCTGAGCCTGTTCTTCCTCGTCGAATGGCTCCTCGGCGACGTGTCGAATCTGCTGGGCTGCGTGTTCACGGGCCAGGCGCTGTGGCAGGTCATCATCGCGGGATACTATGTCACGGTCGACTGCGTACTGGTGGCGCAGTGGATATGGTACGAGCTGCTGAAGCATGGGCGGCCGCTGAGGTCGATATGGGCAAAGGACGAGGATACACTGGGAGGAGGCGGCGGCGGTCCAGCAGTTATGCAAGAGGTATGGGACGGTTTGCGGGGTGATGATCAGGGCCAGGTCAATGACGGCGCTGGGAAGACACTCGTCGTCGTCGACACCAAAGCCATCCCCCCTAGCTCAGGACGCTACATCCCCCGCCGCTCCAACCCCATGGATGCCTTCCGGATCCCCAACTTTGCGCGCTCCCCTAAATATAGTCGAGCGTCTCCTGGAGCGACGACGAATAACACACCCCCGAACCGAACTGTACGACGGGTAGCGGGTTCTCCTCCGATGCCGTCTCCAAAGACGGTCCTATACCTCTCCATGGTACTGGCGGTTCTGTCGCATACGACAGCCGCCAGTCCCGTGAGCCCTTTCGCACCCACTTCATATCCTCGATCATCCCTTTCTTCTTCTTCCCCCGTTTCCTTGGCGGCCGCCGCTTCCAACAGCAGCAGTTCTAGTTCTACCAGACAACACACGCTCGGCACGTTCGCCTCGTGGCTTTCCACCCTCCTCTACCTCGGCTCCCGCCTCCCCCAGCTGTACAAGAACCACCTCCGTCGCTCCACGGCTGGCCTGTCCCCCACCTTGTTCGCGGCCGCCTTCTTCGGCAACCTGTTCTACGCCAGCTCGCTGGTGACGAACCCCTGCGCCTGGAACGATTTCGCGCGGGGCGCGGGACGAGGCTGGGTCGCTCTCGAGGGCAGCAACCGGGCGGAATGGGTCAAGCGGGCCTTGCCCTTCTTCCTCGGCGCGGCGGGCGTGCTAGCCATGGACGCGTGCATGGGCCTGCAGTTCTGCGTCTTCGGCGACGGGATCAAGGCGGACGACGTGGGGAGAGGCAGGTCGAGGAGGGCCGCCCCCCGGATCGCGCAGGACGAAGAGGAAGAAGTCGTCGTCGTCATTAACGACCACGGCATCCGGAAGCGGATCCACCGCCGCTGGAGGCGCGCCAGCGGCTGGATGAGGGGCTGGATGCCCAGTGTCAGCGTGGCGGGGACGCCGAGCGTGAGCCGCGCGAGCACCCCCGTGCGCAGCGGGAGTCCAGCATCGGCGAGGAGTATCGTGGGCTCTTCTGGAAGTCCGCCGGGAAGGGGGAAGGCGCTGGACGAGGCGAGGAGCTTGCTGTACGGGACGAGCCCGCGGAGTTATGGGGGAGTGGGATCGGGTTGACCAAGAACCCAAGAGGGGGATGTTATACGCTGCTTTTATGATCATGTCTTCTTGTTTTCCTAAAGCATTTTCTTTCTTTGGCTGCATCTGCACTGTGGCATTGGATCCGGCGTTGAGGTGTAGAAGCCTCCTACATGGATTGCTGGTTTCCTTTTGCATTGGCCCTCCTTTAGCATAGCATAGCATAGCATAGCATAGCATAGCATATAGGAGGTGGTGTTGGATCACGATTCTTAGGATGGATGAGCATCAAGAGGAAGACCTATAACGTAAACATGGCCGTCACGAATGACATATTGCACATCATCAATCATCACATCTTTCACCCTGATGACTTCGAAGCATCACCTCGATGTGTTCGACTCACGACATGCATGCGGTGCCCAGGAAAGGAGCAAGAGAATTTCGTTCCAGGGCTGGACAGGGTTTCGCACCCTTTTCTTCCCTCCCTTGTTTACCAGAATCACCGAATCGCTGCGTCCACCAACATCGCGTCCTCACGATAAAGCGCAGATTGGGAGGTCAAACTGCATCAACAGATTCAAAATCCACCGAGGCCCGGTGAACTCCCAGTTGGTTTCATCATTCATTCCCCTTCTCGGATGCCATCTCGCCCTCGCCGGCTGGGCATCCAGCTAGCACGCTACTGATACTCTCTCACTGGAGCCATAGGATATATACAGAGGCTCCATCTCGCGAAACCTTCTCGATGGAACACAGAACGGAAAACCCTGGAACCAGAAACGCCTAATCATGCTCATCTAGTCTGTGCAGTGGAAACAGCTGGGACAGGTCAACCAGCATGAACAAAACCCCACCCAATGCAATGCACGCTTAAACGGAAGCAGCATGAGGGTAAAAAAACATGTCAAAGGAAAAGAAAGGGCCGGAGAGGCAGGGTGTACCCACCGCCAATGCTAGTGTTGTACAAGTGTAACAGAAACACGGGAACAGCTCAAGTGCGTGGTTGAGGAAGACGCATCGAGTTGTAGTCCCACGGTCGCTCATCAAAGTAGGGTAGAGGTCCGACTCGACGTTCCGTCAAGGGCCGGCCGAGGGGCTGGTATTGCATCTGCTCGTAACCTATACCGCTTGCGGGACGCATGGCCGTCGACGGCGGCGGAACCAGCAACGTCTGCACCCCGCGGACTGGCCGGTAAGGGGATTGCCGCTGGCCGAGGAAGAAAGAGGGCGATAACTGCCTTTGGCTCGAAAACGAGGCACTCATGGGCGAGGAGCCAGCGGACATGACGTAGGGGCTGACTTGACGGAACGTAGGGCTCAGGTTGTGAGACGTCTTGCACGAAAGACAGGGCCTATCGGGCGCAACCGAGGTTGGAGGGGTTGTATAGGAAGAGGAGACATTGGTTCCGTTCGACGATGCGGCCGCAGAGGTCGGAGTAACAAACGGCTGCTTCCACTGCATTGCAGGTGGGTAGACCATGGCCATGGACCGGCTTCCCGGAGCGGGCAGCGAGAGTTCCTGCCACTGGTGCACTTGGACAGGAGGATTCTGCTGCAAACTGGGAATTGACAGGCTGGGGAGGGAAGGGAGGCGGTCTCCACGAGGTTGCTGGACCGGTTTGTGCGGGGGTACCTGCAGGGATGAGATCAGCGGTGCGTTGCTGTAGGGGACCGGTGCAAAGCCATGGGCGACTCTCTTGGCTGGAGGTTCGATGTTGTTGTCCGAGCTCCGCTTGCGGACGGGAAGTGGACCTGGATGCGATGGCTCAGGCAGGATTGAATTGATTGGGGAGGCAACCGTGGGGGTGGGCTGGGACGAGAGGGAGGGCCGGTAGTTTCCATAGGCGTTCTGGGAGCGGGATGGCGAGTAGGACATGGAATACGGTGGCATTTTTTGCTGCGTGGGAGGTGACGGAACATATTGTTGTGAAGGAGTCAGAAGCAATGGCGTTGTCGTTCCAATGGGGCTGATGGCAGTGGGTGGGGGCACCTTGGAGGCTCGGTCGTAGAAGGTGCCAAACTTTCCGAGGAGGACATGCCATTCATCCCACTGCTCCTTCGAGGTGAACAGGCTGTAGCGCATGTTGCTGAGGAATTCGACTTCCATGAGGTGCACCTCCTGAACTAGGATACCGGACACTTCGGCCCAAGTCTTGTTCGTATACGTATTATCATCAAGAACTGCGGCAAGAGGTCAGACGGCACATCAAGGGTCAGTGTCGAGGGGACTCACACTTGTTTCCCAGCATCAAAGCCACAGTGAGAAGGCGGTATTCGCTTCCGGGCATGCCCTTTACCGTCGGGTTCGCCTTCTTGAGCCTCCAAATGAACAACAGGGCCAAGATGATGACATTCTGAGCCACCTGCGTCGTGGACAATATCGTTCCCACCCATTTCCTGAACGCGGTTTTTGGGATGGCATCGGGGACGAGGGGTTGGGTCGGGTAGGGCGACGCCGAGTTCAAGACCTGCTTGAGTGTTGACGAGTTCTCAAACCAAAATAGACATGTAATCTAGGCCACTTTAGTATGGTTGTCCAACATCACGGTCTGGTTAGGAACCAACCTCGGCCGCCAATTGAGGGAGCGACTCCTGGGGAGTGCAAATCGACTCTGGGATTCGCAAATTCGGCGCAACGGTCGACTTCTTTTGCTGCTGTGCCTGGCCCTCGCCTGACCCTCGTGCAGGGTGTTGCTGGTGCCGCTGTGTCGGAGGACTATTCCGACTCGGAGGCGGGCGGACCGCTGTGACGCCGGGCAGGGGGTGGCTTCGCTCATGGAGTGGAACCTCTCTGGGTTGTTGGGTGAAGACGGCTCTTTTGGCCAGACCGCTATCGGGAGGTGTGGGGACATGGACAGCCGGTCTGAAGGCATCCGATTCATAGCCTGGTTGTATTCTCGGGAGAGGGAGCTGCATCTTGTGTCTATGCTGGTACGAGGGAGGGGCTTGGGCGGGAGAGAAGTCGAACGAGGGGAGTCGGACGGCGTGAGGCATGGGTTGGAGGGAGTCTAGGCTGCACATGAGGATGCCGTTGTCGTGTCTCCTCGCTGGGGAAGGTGAAGCCTAGGGGTGAGTGAAATGAGGGGAATGTCGTTGACGCAGACGCGGCAGGCATGGGCACGGTGAAGTGTCTCTGGGTGAAATCAGACCGCGTGTCTGGTGAGAGCGAAGGGAGCGAGGGCGTTGCTAGGACATTGACGAGGACGGAGGCGGTAGTAGTAGTAGTAGTTGTTGTTGTTGTCGCTGGCGGATGCTGAAGTTGTTGATGCTGGTCGACGAGGGATGGGGTAGCAGATACGGGGAAGGAGTCGGCACAGCAAAAAGAATGCACGGAGGATGAAAAGGGAAGGCGTGACCCTAGGGATGGCAGGAGATGGCAGGAGGAGGAAGGAAGGAACGATGAATAAAGAAGGCAGGCTCGGCCGCACGATTTGCGTCTGCGCACTTGTTGCTTGCTTGCTTGCTGTCTGTTGGGAGGTCCAAGGGTGATGAAGTGAAGTCAAAAACGGACAAGGCTATGCGGTGCTAGCCCCAGCCAGGCGTGTGGCCGCAGTGGGCTGCTGGGCTGCACACGGACTGACGGTCCATGTTGACGATTTGCGTGAATGAATGAGGGTGGAAGGCCCAAGGGGGCGACGCGGCGGGCCAGGGATGTCCAGATGTCCAGATGTGGGCAGGGGGGTTGGAGGAGGAGCGTGTCTGGCGCGTGGGCTTGGGGCGGCCGTTGGGGTTTGATGATGATGGAAAAAACCGAGATTCACACACAACAGGCGCAGACGGAAGAGACAAGGAAGAGAGTGCCCAGGTGAGTGAGGAAGGAGAGGGGCGTCCGTTAGTGCCGTTCGCGGCGGCGGCCGAGCCGGATCCTTGATCATGGATGGGGCGTGACTTGACAAAGCGCAGAAGCGATCCGTGATCCATTAGTGATCCGAGGATGATGATGAGGGATCATGATTGATGGGTTGAGGTGACCCCAAGCCTCAAGGGAGCGTGTCAGAGGCCCAACAAACCCAGAAGGGTCTCCGCCACGACTCCTCCTACCCGGCACCCACACGCCTCTCGCAGCCATGCGTGCTGAGTAACTTGGACGCAGTGTGCAGAGTGTACTACTGTGTGTAGTACGAGTAGTGTGCAGCATGCAGTTTGCAGTTGTGCCCTGTCCCGCCCCGGAGAGTGGTGAGAGTTTGCGAGGGCATGGCCACTCACACGGGCAGAGGTTCCAGGTGCCAAAAGGCAAAAAAGCAGCAAATCCTGCTCCCTCTGATGGGCTGGCTGGGGCTGGATGGCTGGGCTGGCTGGAATTGATGATGGGCCACCATCACCACCACCACGAATCCGAGACGCGCCGGCGGCGAGTGACAAGACCACCGAGACTCTGGGAGAAAGAGAATGACACACGGCGCCAACCCGGACAACCCCCTCACTGCTGACATCAACGACTTTGTGCCATGTTATTATTATCATCTTACCGTGTGATGGTGCTATCCGCGGCCCGATCATGATGGCTTCGCATGCAACAATGCCATCTAGGTATCCTCTTCGAGGGCCTGCTGGTCATCTGCGAATAATGATAATGATGGGTGCGGGACCCGGTCACTGTGACAAAAGTGCTGCTTGCCTGGTTGCTTTGCCTCAATCTCACTCATTCTCCAGAGCATGCAGCAGGGGAGCTCGCAGTGACACCGCCACCGGCAAAGAACAAAGCTCACAGCACCTGTCCCCCTTTGCCAGCTGAAAGCAGCCAGCCGCAATCCCTGGAACAAAGTGGAAGCTCGTCGTCTGGGATGAGTCTCCAGCAACGCCCGTAATCGGCCATGGCCGCTTCGTAATCGTGACGAGCAAATACGAATACCTCCATAAGATCCGAGCTAGAAAACGAAAAACCAAAAAAAAGGGAAGAAAAAGAGGAAACTGGGCCGGCCGGCTGCTGCCAGATCCTTCGGGGGCTTGTGTGATGATTTGGAAGTCTGTGAAAAGTGTGGAACCTTGCTGAACACGGGTGACCCTTGCCGGGCGTCACCCACCAAATCCGTCCTAGCGTCGTTTATTCCTTCCTCGCTCCTCTCCGTCCACCTGGGCAGTGTCTGACCAATCAGAAGCACCATCCTTTTCTTACAAGGACTCTCGAATTCATTCTCCTGATAACCATCCTCTGCTGTCTCCCAAAAGGTGTGGCATTGGAGCCCAACGACTCGTACTGCATCATTCATCTACAAAGTATAATAATCATCGACCAGACTCGGCCTGGCAGGCGAGGTTCGCTCGTCGTGCGAGCCCGTCATTCCGACCCCTCACTGTCTCCTCATCGGCGACTCTTCAAAAACCACTCACTCCACAAAAGTGTATCTAGACAAGCTCTCCCACTGGAGCTGCCGTCTTTGATAAAAAGTCCCTCGTTAGTTGTCCCAACTCTTCATCAGCTTCATCATCCTCCGCCTCACTCTCCGCCACCTCGCCAAACCGCCTCCGCAGGCTCCGCTTGATGAGCCCTGTCAAGAATAGATTGATACGCGTCTCTACGATCGACAAAGATTCAGGAAACCTTTTTCTGTTTTTGACTTCTGGAGCCTACGGCTTACGTTGCCTGCAGCGCCCCTCGGCCCTCTGCAACTGGGTGCCGGCAATAATGCTGTCCCACGATAGGTACCAGAGCACGGCGGCACTACGGTGACATGTACTGTGTAAAAGGGGCCTGGGTACGAGGGGTATCGTCCCTACGAATAATGTACCAGAATGTACTCGGTACGAAGTCGAACTAGCGCACAGCGCTGCGAAAGTGTACACGGTATGTACAGAGTACAAGTACACTGTGAACATAGCCCACCGCCAGCATACACTCCGACTTTCAGTACTCCGTAATATCGCTGCATCTATGAAGGCGTGCCCAGGTGTGCAGCCCCAGCCCGGTCTCGGTCCACCGCCATGAGGGGTGGCACTTCAATCCACAACGGGTCGCACTCCCAGCCTCAACGAAGCCCAAAACCCACCCAGTAACAGCACGCCGCAAAGCACGCTGCAAGCTACCTAGGTAGAGTGTCACTTTTGCTGCGCCGACTGAGGATGAGGGCAAGTCGACTACTCCGTAGGAGGTTCTGGGTACTACAAGTGCACAGTTTTATTGGTCGAAGGCCACACAGATTGCTGCCGGATAATGGGCAATACTTCATGCGGTCTGGCGTTGCAACCATCAAATGCCAGCGTGATTGCTTGGGTTGGCGATGCGGATCCCACACTGCGCATCCCACGTCTCCCGCTCCGCACCACCACTTGGCCTCCAGCGTCCATATTCCCCTTATCTCCGGAACGAGACCAGAACATCGGCAGCGTCATAACGGTCCCAATTCCGCCATCCATGATAATTTGTGAAAAGGACCATGACTTCCGTGAGAGACGGCTTAACCATTTTGAGTCCAGAGGCCCGTTTCGATAGGTTGATGCAGCTGTGATTTGCCGACTTTCGTCATCCACACCTGGCCTCTAGACTGCGTCATTTCGCCGTGCAAGTGGACTCTACTGTACACAGTAGCTACTTGCGCTCCCGCGGAGTGTTTGAGAGCATGTTCCTGGGAGTCACGACATGACTACATCATGACCCAGAAGTGAGTTTTGCAAGCCGCCTCAAGTCTGGGTGTTTGCCCCGCCAATCCGCCTTCTGGTGCATTGTTTTGTCGTCGCTCATTCTCTTAGTCTTGACTCTTGCCTCTCCCCCTCTTTTCCATCAAGTGCCAAAACCCCCGAAACCCTGTCCAACCCACCGCCGCTCGGTGTTGCAACCCGCAAGCTGCTGTTTCGCCCGTCGTGGCCGTGAATCAATCCTCTCTGCGCCAGCAAATTGGCCTGCTCCCCGGTGTTTGTCCGCGTGCCCCTCGGGCATCGGCTGCTTGTGGCCAATCGCAACGCGCGACTTTTATGCTTTTCAGGCTTCGCCAACGTCTGACTTGTAGGGATAGGCGTGGTGTCACTATTATCATTCTGTGTTGACGCACCTCTTACACAGTACTTAGGTCAGCGCCCAACGCCCTGGACGCCGTGCACCTAGGTACGTATGGGGCAGCGAATCGAGCGACAAATAGTACAACATCTGGTCGGATCGATGGCATATGAATGACTGAGTCAGCTTAAGAAATTTCCCTCGGGAACAAGGTATTACCTTCCAGGTTTAGTCTCTTAACCCTTAGGCACTGTAACCTACACAAACCTACCACAGTACATACAGTACAAAGTAATTACAGATGCATTCTTTTTGATTGTTGGCCTGGCGGGCTGTGGCAAGATTGCAGACGACGCAAAGCACTACCATATTTACTGTATTGCAAACCCTGCCGGGCGCCCAACAAGTCGGTGCGGTGATAAGCAAACCACTCTTCCGCGCTTCGTATCACGCAGTCCATCGGTCATGGTGTCTCACGCAGGCGAGGCGAAACCAATCAATCAATACAGTAGCACTCCGTATCCAACTTCCAAGGGCACCAGGGCAGGGGGATAGTGCCGACATGTGATGTGGTTGCAATAATGCAGGGGTCTTGCCTTTTGCTCGAGCGGTAAGGTTCAAAGTAACCAATCCTAGCAAGCGCCGTGTTCATGTAAAAATTGTACCCGATTAGGGAGGCGATCGGGTCTCTCGAGCATCCAATTAGCTCGGTTGCGGTGGAGTGTAGTGCAGGATTCCTTACACGCATCAGATGAAGTCTTTGGTAGCCCCTGCGGTGCTGACGTTTCAGGCGGGGTTATTAAGTTACTCCGTAAAACATGGGCGTGTTGATGAATCTACGATACAGCGGACTGTGTAGGTAGATGCTCCTGTCTCTGTGGCTTCGTGCCAGCAATATCGGCCGCCCGACGCCAACAAGTCCAAAGAGCCTGTTGTCGCCGCCGATGCTACTCCTTGCCCTGATCGCTAGCGATGCAAAGTGGTCAGGCCATGTCGAAGCGAAGAGTTGTGGGACGGGGAAGACTCGGCATCCGCTCTGTTCGCTGGACCAGAAGTGGGTAAGATTATTCAATCCACCGAAGAGTCATCGCGCGTTTGCGACATTTCGCTGAGGTAGACGATGTGGTTGGAGGTAATAAAGCAAGGCCACGATTCAGGACCATACCACACCACCAAGGCGAAGGCTGCACTGCAGGTACGACCTGCTGCTATTGATTACTGCAGATGCATACTGGCACAAGGAATCGTGTTCCAATGCTCGGTCGCCGGTGCAGCCATTAGTGACACACCATTCGCCTCATGAGTGGGATCGGCTTTGCAGAGGGGCGCGGGTAGTGGTAAAAGCCTTCTCCTGGTGGTAGGTATCCAGCCAAAGTGATCCGCATCACGGCCGAAGGAAGGTCGTAACCCCGACGAGAATGGATGATTTGATGCATTGTCCCTCGGCTTATCGACGTTGCATGACCCCATGTTGAGCTCGTTTGAAGTGCATCCAGGCTGACATACTCCATACAATAATCGTCTCCGTAAATCCTGCACATGGTGGCAGGCAATATCTCCAACGTTTGCTGGAGGGAAAGGAGGTAAGACGAGCCGCGCCTGGAAGGTACTGGTACACAGCATCCATCAAAAAGGAAGGCAGATCTCTGCTATAATAGTAAACGCAATTGATGATTATGGCAGGTGTTGCCTTCTCTCTCCTTGCACGAGAGAAGCAGCGCCTAACAGGTACCAGCAACGCCGAAATGGTTACAGAGTAGTCCTTGCTGTATAATAAAGTAGGCTAGTCTACAGATGGTTTTCTGCTGTTCAGAACGTGGGTGCAAAATACCCATGCGCCGGAGTCCTGCCACTCGGAACATCCGTCTATCGACCAGACATGTCCTGCATCATCCGCATACGAGACGCATGGAACGGAGCGGACAACAAGCTGACAAGAGACGCGCCTGGTCATCGTGCTGGCCTGCCATGCATGAGTGTCAGTGGCGGGTCGTTGGAACTTGGCCGAAGCAACGCAACTCCAATCTGCGTACTTCCGCATCCTGCCCAGGTGGTGCTCTCACAGGTCACGGGAGTCGATTATTGATGCAAGGGCTTTTGGGCCGTGAGAGAGAGCGAGATGGCGACGAGCGACGCCACGCGTCCGGCTTGAGCGAGGCGATGGTTTCTTTGCGCCAACGACTCATGGTGGAGAGAAGGTTGCAGACCGGCTGGAGTTTCTCCTTTCTCAACCTCCTCTCACTCAGTCAACCCCACCTTGCAAGTTGCCTCACCTCAAGCCTCTCACCACCACCATCCTGACCCAAACACACTAACAGTACTAGCTACCGTCCACGTCAATAATTCATTTGACCCCAAGCTGCATGAGGCGAAGGGAGAAGCTGTGCCGCGTCATCCTGGACCTTCGTGAAGAGTGCGACGGGGAACTTCGCACGACCTGTCTTACACCACGTCCCGCTTTCGGATAGATCATCCGTACACAGTACCTGCTCATCGGACCGTCAAAACGGACTCAACCAACTGGTAGATTGTTATTCAGAAGGACATGGCTCAGGACAGTGCAAGCCTTCAGCGGCGCAGCATATTGCCCTGCTAACTTGGCCGGAGCCGCCGTCTTCCTTGATGATCGCTCACATGTACTGTATAGGGCATCATATCACCCATAAATTCTTCGCTGCCGATAATTTCGACCCGCCGGTACACACGCAGGCTGCACTTCGTTTTCCATCGTCTCTTCATTGGCTGATCCCCATGGAAATAGTCATCTCGGTATTCCCTCCGCCTGCTCATACCGTCCATCGCGCAACAGATCGATAATGTCTATGACGAGGGACGTCATCCCGACCTCTAGTCCCCTGCGTTCCATTAATAGCGTTTGATGAGCCTCGAACAAACAGCGGGCTGCTACTAACACGTGTACTTTCGCCTCCGGCAGTGGATGGACAGGGTGGAATCATCGTGTGCTTCAGAAACCATGCTGGGTTGGACTGTTCCGCATCGAGGCCAAATCGAGCGTTACGTGTCCGGCATTCGATAAGCTTTGGCAATCACAGCTTCTTTTGGGTGAAACACATGTCTTCCTCGTCGATGAGAATGGAACACTGCAGGGCTTGAGACACCGTCAGTACACACAGCGTGTACCGGACCTCGTCGGCCTCTATACATATGCACGCTGCCTTCAGACACGACCGTCAAACATCCATCTGTATGATAACCTTCAAACCTATCTCCATCATCTCCATCGTGGCGCCCTCCACGTCCGAATCCGTACACGGAACTGAAAACACCCCTGACATATGCTTCTGTCAAAGCCGCTCCAATCGGAACATTGACAAGAAGTGAACATGTACTGAGAAATAAGAGTAGCTGTTGTTTTCCATTCGAAATTCTGGCCACCAATCCCATGAACCGCCATCACGATCTTTCCGAGAACTTCAAGTGGACGAGGAGAACTTGGGCGAACTGCCTTGAACGTTACGAACCTCGTCGTTCCCCATCATATGCGACGTTCCTATGGTTGCAACCCGTCGGATGGAAGCTGGTTCTACATGCGTTCCCACATGTGCATTTGAGCCGTCAGCCGGCCCATCACAAGCTTGCTACATTGGTTCTGCTATGCTCGTCACCTATCCAATGATCTATTTCTTCCATTACCGGATCATTGGATTAAAATTGCCGTCCATCACGATGGCGGGACGCGTACTCATTCTGACTGCTAACCACTGGAGACCCCGGAGCTCAACTGGAATAGTCACAACAAGCAACTCATCCTTTCGAACTAGCGAGTTATCGAGCTTTGATCCAGAGATTAGGAGGTGCAAAGGCCCGCGGTGTGCTTTTCCGGTCATAAGGACCATTTTCCTCCGTGTGGTTTCCGTGACAATAGGGACTTCAAGTGCCTCACAGTATAACGAGAAGGAGTTTGGTCCAGAAACGGAAAACGGTAAGTGAGGGGCCGTCTTGGTTCTGTCGGACAACCCGACTCTAATCGGATCTGATGTTATGGGGATATCCTTCACTACCGTTCTCTGACCCCTTGACAACCTGTTCGTCACAAATGCTCGCTCCGCCTACATCTCTCTTTCGAAAATAGTACACGGTACACTACAAGATTGCTTTACAAAGGGATAGAGGCTCCATGGGATGCCAGGTGACCCGCTCTCCATGTATCCACGCCTTCAAACCGCATGGCAAACAGTATGTTACCAACAGGAGGAGTATCTCTCGAACCAGGATGCTTTGGGCTGATGCTGTCATGCGTATATCACCGCAGCACAACCGCCCCGGGATCTCATTCTTCACAAACCCCCTCAAACAACCTAGAAAAGCCTATTATCTGCACTCGCCTTCGCCGCATCCCTCTTCGCCGCCTGCTTCTTCTGATCCCTCCCGGTTCCCACCGGCGGCTTGAAGAACAAGCTCGGCGACTCGCCCTCCTTCACCGTATACGCCAGATAGCCCCTGTGTGCTGGATCGCGGTAGTACTCTATATCCGTCCGACCCGTCGCGTCGGGCAGCCTGTACTTGTACGTTTCGCGCACCTTCTCCATGACGGCGCGGAGAGCCTCGTTCTTCACTTCCTCGGGGACATCGCACGCCGTGAGCGCCGCTTTGGAGTCCGCCTCCAGCGCGGACAGGATGGCCGAGTTAGCGGCCCGGGTGACGAGTTCGGGAGAACACAGGAGAGAGATGGCCGGGTGGGACTCGCCGCGGAGGACGCGCTTGATGGACGTGGGGCTGTAGAAACGTGTGGTTACGGTTCCGCCGAGGGCCTCGACGCGGGCGATGGCGGAGGCGGAGGCCCGGGAGACGATGATGTTGATTTTGGAGGTGAGGGCCTCGGCGTTCTGGTGGGCATGTTAGCTGGATAGAAGATGTTGAGAACCTCCTCCACGCACCCTGCCGAGCAGTTTGACGCCGTGCCGTTTCACGCCGTGCAGGCACCGTGATTTTGCCAATTCCTTCATGGTGATGGGTTCATTGGGGTTCAGGCGGCCCTGGTCTATCCACGACTGAATGCGGTCGAGGTTGATGGGTGACATTTCGACCTTGAATCTGCACGCTAGTTAGCAAGCTACACCTATTTCAAGAGTACCAAGCTCCTCTTTTTCCCTTATAAGCCATCCAATCGCCTTTACATTAGCCCACTCTCACAACTGAAAGCTCCACTCACGGATTGTACTTATTCCTCCCCCTCACTGGCTTCGTGATCTCCAGCGGCGTCTGTCCGCCCTGGAACCCCGCGGGCACCTTTCCGTGCGCATGCTGACCCTTCTGACCTCTTCCGGCGGTCTTCCCCTTCCCCGAAGCAGGGCCACGGCCTCGTCGAATGCGTTTGTGGTAGGCGCCTGGGTTGTCCGAGAGGGAGGAGAGGATGGATGCGTTGCGCTTCTGCGGTTGCTGCACGGTAGCCACGAGGAATTGGTGTACCGAAGCGGTCGGAAGGGAAGGCCGGAGGAGGCATGATGCGAGCCGGACGGCTCTTATGCGTGGAGGCATGGTTGTGGGGGGGGTTTGTACGGAGCGGAAGTTAGGCGTCGTTGCGGAGATGCGAGCTGCAGAAAATATGGATTATGTAAGCGCTTCGCGGTTCCCCTGCTGGCCTGGGTTTGAGAGGTGAGCGCCTTCATTCCACGTTTTCTTCGCCGCATCGTCATCGAAATCTGTTAGCCCGACACTTGAGGACACTTGTTGGCTCCTCTGATGGTTATGGAATATCTTCAGTGGAACCTATTCCTCGGTAGCAGTGTCAAGATGCAGCTTTTGAAGAGACAATGACCACCAGTTAGGGAGGGGGGCGACTGACCATCGAACAGGAATGGCACGCCGATTCCAGTTTCTCTTTAGAGGTATGGGCCAAATTCGAATAGCAGAAAGTGGGATTCACGTAATCACTGGCGATTTTGCCGAGATCTGTTAGCACTTCTTCTCTGCATTCTTTATTATTCCCTCACAAGTCTCCTAAGGTCATTTCTTGCCACATCCATTCTATGTTTATATCTCTTTTCGTTCATCTTCAGTAAAGAGTCCTACATCACTGGATCACCGGGCACTCGCCCCCCAATTCACTCACCAAACTTCAACATCCCGCTCAGGCGAGCAGCTCCTTCAACTGCCCGTACCCATCTCTGGGACAGACATCCCTCGCCGTTTTCCCCTCGATAGTCCTCAAACCCTTATCTGCGCCATGCCTCAGCAACCACTTCACGGTCCCCAATCTACCTTTCTCCGTTGCCACATGCAACGCTGTTCCGGGACCACCCACTACCTCTCCCCTCTCGAACCATTCGTTGAGGTCCGCACCTTCATCGAGCAACAGCCGACTGGATGGAAGGGGTGATGGCTGTAAAGGAGTAGAAGACTGATTAGTAGGATAGCGAGCTTGAGGTTTGGATGGTCTATGGATCCATTTCACTGGTATCATCGTCGATTCTCATACATTTGACATGCGTACAGATTGGGAAGTCCATATTCCCATAGCGATTGCAACATCATGGTCTTGAAGCCACACAATGTGGCCTCTCCCGAGCATCCTGACCATCCAACAGTATAATCAGAATTGCCATTGGGGGGAACAGAATCTATTACAATGGGGTCTGCCACTGTAGGTGTAGGGCAAGCGGCGAACAGAACCATCAGTGCGCCACTACGCAAGCAACTGTGCCCGTACAGTATTCACTTTACCTAGATTACCTGGGACAAATTTCAGAACATGCTCCCAGAAGCTAAACTTACGCCGCAGAAGCTGAACGTCCCATTTACGGCAACGAGACCAGGCTCTGTTCCCCCGGGTCTCCATGTACTCAGAGACCCAGATAGGCGAGAGCTCCGGTAAGATCTGCTAGACACCTCATTGCTCTACGCGGGATGGAGCTCGCGTGGTCCCAGGAATTATCTGCTGTTGCATTGGAGGGTGCTTGCATTTGCACCCTAAATTCCTTGATTCTCCCAGTGCGAGACTCACCCCCTGTGGGCCCCAGCATGTCACCTCACACCTACGACCCACAAAATAGGCCAACACAAGCTTGGTATGTGGTCACAAGCGGCGCCTAGGGCAGCTTGAGTATATGGGCGGAGTAGAGTGCTCACCTTTCCCAAGAAACCAGACACGAGTTTATTGACAAAGCTCCAGGTTGAATTTGATGACATTGAGGAGGTACGGAGTCTACCGTGTAGAGGCTCGTGAAAACACCAATGTCCTGGAAGACGAGGGCTTTGAGTTTCTTGGACATCGTGGCTGCCCAGTACCATTGGAAATAGAAAGGGTATCTATATACACCGCCGACCGGTCCACTGGCAATTCCATATCCCATCCCGACCCATCCAACGTCTATCCTGCTGTTCCCTGATTCATAACTCGGCGGGCACCTCGCTCTAGAGTTCATCTCGCCACGGATTCGCAAGGTTGTCCTCTTGCGGCTTCTGCACCTTCTCAAACCCTTCCTCCACTTCCATCTCATCCTCATCCCCGCCCTCTTCGTCGTCCAGCACTACTCCTCCCGTTCCCATGCCTGAAGACGCTGCTTCGCTCTCCGAATACCAGGCCGTCCCCTCGACCCACTCCACGATCGTCTCCTTCGCCGTCTCGCTCATCGTGTAGTACCCCGGGTTACTCCGCGGCTCAAACATACTCATGTGCGCCCACGTCTCCTCCGTCGCTTTGTCGTTGACCGCGGGAATGAAGAAACGCTTCAACTCTCCCTTCGGCAAGTTGCAAAACGTGCGGTCGATCCCCGCGACCTTACCCGTCCAGGGTGCGGCCTTCTTCTCGTTCTGAGCATTCACCGCATGGCCCAGCGCAGTGTACATGTTGGCGAACCCGACATGCAACTCTTCAGACAACCTCACCACGTTTGCGAGCCGTCTCCGCAGCTCCTCCGGCCGTGCTAGACTCCCCACAAACTCGAGATGCGAGGTCGCGAATGCCCATCCCTCGGAAATCTGTCCACGCTTTAGATAGGCCGCTGCTCCGCCCGCAGCTACTGCGCCCGCGGCTCCGGCAACCAACGCAGCTTTGCCGTATTTCTGCCACAAAGGCACGGTGGCCGTGCCGGAGTTCGCATCGTTGACGGCTTTTGCCGCTGTAGCTGTCGTTTGCGACGACGCGATCATCTTACTTGCACCTACAGCCGTACTAGCACCGTCAGAGCTCTTCGCGCCCCATCCAAACGCGCCGGCCAGATTATTGTACGCCGCATACGCGGAAGAGGCAGTAGCCCAGTGCTTCTCCGCGCCGTGTGCTACCACTCCCGGCGCAATGCCTAGGTACGGTGTATCGAACGCTAATATGCCATGGATATAGGGGAACATCAATGACCCAGGTTCAGAGGACTGCGAGGTCGACTGTGAATGGATCGGCTGTTCATTCACAATCGAGAGGAGTGTCTCGGCCGCAACAATGCCGCCCATAGAATGCCCAACGAGAATGGTGTGAACGGAGGGATCGACGGTGGGTGAGGGGGTCGCGTTTGCGACTTCGAGATCGATGATCTTGTTCAGAAGCCTGGAACTCACATTAGATTCCGATCTGATTGGATATGGGGAACGAGGATATGTTCAGCTCACCACTCTCGAAACCTCCCCACACATTCTCCCAAATCTCCCCGCGTCTCGTACTTTGGGTACGTCACCTCCAGCACCTTGACATTGGGGAGCGCATGTTGCAGCACTGCTTTCAGGTGGCTAGGGAAATTACCGAATGTGTCGTCGCCGCCCTGTAGAGGTAGATCAGCTACTGTTCTGCTGTATCTGTGTGACGCTGGAGTTCGCAATGAGTCGCTCTCAGATAAAAACTGACCTTGAACCCGTGAATGAAGCACAGCAACAGGGTCTTCTTCATCCTGGAGAAGACCTGGAGCTATGTTCCTGCATCTGTGCAGTGGAAGAAAGTGAGACGCGGAATCATGAATGCCAGACAGAGTCGCGCTCGGGAGCGATTACGTCGATTTCAGCCCTGCTGAAGGTCTTGGAGATGGGGAACTTCCAAGGACTTCCAAGGTTGCCGAATTGGTCAAATCTTTGCAGTATGAGAGCTACTGATGTGATCAAGTATACGCCAAGGCCTCTCAACACCATCCCGCTATCTAGACTATATCTGCTCGCGGCATCGCAATGGCAAAGGCGTAGCCAAAGTTCGATCCGCTTACAAAGGAATGTACTGCTACGTGCCTCGAAAGTATTGTTTGGCTGATTAACTCTCCAGCTGTAGACAAGCACTACGCTTCAAGGCCGTGACAACTGTTAAACCATTCGCACTCATACAAACCCTATGAAGACGATAATGCGAAAATGGGTATAGTACAGAAATAGAGCTCCTCTCTCAAACATTAAAAGAAACTTTTCGAATCCCAACTATAGAGCGCAACGAGACGATTGCAACGCTACAAAGCAGCAAGAGCCATCGCCACTGCTCCCAGAACAGCGGCAGCCATCGTACTCTGTAATGAAGATCGAGAAACGGACGAGCCAGTGGCGGTGATATCGAATGGAGAACCTCCTCCCGAATCGGCATTCGACTTCTGCAGGCTACCGGGAGTGTTCGGTGCTGGAGATTCCGGTGGAGGGGTGCTCTGTTCGGGCGGCAAAGCTGACGTTGCCAACGTAGTCGGAACCGACGGATCAACTGAAATCCCGCCAGGAGAGCTCGTGGTAGGCGTTGTAGGCGAGGTCCGCGTCTGTACAGACGTTGCACTCGTTGTCTGCGCTGGAGATGTGGTGGGCCGTGAGGTTGGTGACGTAGTGCTGGACGGATTCAGGGTGACGACCTCAATACCGGGACACAGTGTTTGAACTCCTAGGCCGAGCAAAAAGATTCCAATGACACTGGTCTCCGGTACATCGACGCCGGCGCAGGCCGTTTCCACCGCCTGCATGATGGTTACGAGCCCGCTTACGCATTGGGAGCTGCATGTGCCACTTTGGGTGGTGAAGTCGCCGGCCTGGCAGCCCTGGATCTGCGTCGTGTAGACGGCGTGGCACCGCGAGGGTAGATTTTCAATCCGAGGAGTGAAGTTTGCGAGCGATAGAGCGCTGGTGGCGGAGATGAGACCATTTGCAACGAGGACGGACATGATGGTTCGTGAATACAGTTTGGGCATTGTGGAGGGATTCGAAGCCAGTCGGAAGACTCGGTACTCTTGAAGGTTATCAAGAAGCACTGGGTAGCCGGTATTACCCAGCTGTGATATGGTGGGCTCTGGGAGACAAGGTGGGGGACGGCAATGCTCTTGCGCCAGTCTTAAGTGCTTTCTTTTCAGCAGCTCAATGCGATGCTCTTTTCAAGCACCAAAACTGGATGCGCGCCAGCGACTGCTTCTTGTGATGTAGGTATACGTAGTGTAGTTGATTGCCAATGTCCCGTATGGCTGAAATAGGGCTTCGAATTGCTGCAGCGACGAGGAGACAGTGGGCGGGATGTAGAAAGCAGGACAGAATCTGGCACCGGGCCTGCAAGCGAAAGCGCGCGAGAGGAAGAGAGAAGGGGTGAAGAAAACGCGCAGCGCAGGGCAAGAAGCGAAGAAGGGGGAGAAGGTGGTGATGGCGGAGGTGTTCAGTCGCTTATGCCATTGCGGGAGCGGCACACGGTGAAGTCGCTCTCAGCTCTCGGAGAGGGGCAGATGGAAAAGCAGACGGTCAGGGGAGGCCGTGGTCTTAAGAGGAAACAAGGCATGACGGTTGGTGTGGGAGCTTCTGGAGGTCACATCACGTCGCAGGCCAGTGTAAGATGGGGAGAGATGAAACTGAGAGGGAGAGGCTCGCGCGAAGGCCATTGGTCCGCCGGTGCGAGCAGGGAGTGCGACCAGCGAGAGTCTGAAACATGCAGAGGGCAGCCGAGGGGGAAAAGGCAGGACAATAATAGGACGAGAGGACGATACCTGCTGATGTGCAGTGGGTTTGTTCGATTTCCGAATTTGATTTGTGGTTATACTCTGGTATTATGAAAGAAAGAGTGCCAAACAACAGAGCTCGTGGGAGGAGTGAGTACGGAGTCGTGCTGGGCTATGATGACGAGATAGATTGCTGACTCGTGGGCACCCTGATGGCCACTATTCACCATAATCTCCTCCCGAGGTCCGTATAAAGAGAGGATCTGCCCATGCTTCCTTGACACTTCACTTCATCCTCAATCCTAATAACAACAACGCGAATGAACCAACGTAAAGGTTTCGCTGCGTATAGGTGGGCTCTTTCTTCTATTTGGCAATAAACACGCTGGTCTCGCTGCTTTCCTCTCACACCATCGAAGGAATCGAGACTCTATCACGTGCAGCGACCTACCACCAAACCTCCAGCTGGAATCCTAACCCTGACACCCTCTATTCCATCACCAACACGCTCCTGAACCGCACCTTATTGTCGTTCATGCGCTGCACCGCCTCCTCGACCTTGTCCAGCGGGAACTTCTCCACCATGCACTTGACGCCCTGGTTCTGCGCAAAGCTGATGGCCTCCTCCGAATCCAAAGCATGTCCAGACGGCCACCCGTGCACAGAGATGCCCTTGCCAGTCATCGCGACTGTGTCCACTGGCACCTCGCCGACAGCTAACCACCAGCATTAGTCCATCACTTCCCCTCATACGATGCAGGAGAGACTGGTCACTCACGAGCCAAAAGCAACAACTTTCCAAGTGGACCGCATGCCTTTACCAACGGGCTCATCAGCTTCGGATTCGGCGCCGTAACCACCACCAGAGATGCCCCGCCCATCTTCTGCAGCGCCTCGGCCGCATCCTCCTTGCTCGTATCAATGTACTCGTTCGCACCCAGCTGGAAAGCAAACTCCCTCTTCGCGTCGCTGCTTGACAGCGCTACCGTTTTGAATCCCATCTTCCGCGCGTACTGCAAAGCCAGATGGCCCAGACCGCCGAGGCCTTGCACCGCACACACGTCGCCCGGAGTAATCTTCATGTTGCGCATGCTGTTGAAGACGGTCACGCCGGCACAGAGCAGGGGCGCGTATTCGGCTGCATCAGCCTCGGGTGGGATGCGGACAGTCGCTTCAGCGCGGAGCGTGCAGTACTCTGCGTCTGTACGATCATTGTCAGTTTTGACAGCACACAGGAAGGGAGAGGCCACATACATCCGCCGTTCCTCGAAACCCCGTTTACGAGCCCATTTTCGCACATCTGGAACAGACCCCTATTGCACGCCTTGCACCTGCCATCGTGGCCTCCGTGCCAGGGTCCGCCGACCTTGTCGCCAATCTCGAAGCCCTCGACGCGGTCACCCACCTTGACGACCTTGCCAATGACTTCGTGGCCTGGAATGCGAGGAAATGATGCCCTGCCTTCATTGTCAATGCTGCTACATAATATTCAGCAGCAAAGGAAACACTTGCAGTGGTCCAAATAGTCCCTTTTGCAGGACAACGTCCGAGTGGCACACACCGCACGCCAGCACCTTGACCAAGACCTCATTGGGTGCGGGCTGCGGGACGGGCACCTCCTTGATGGCCCACGGCGCGTTGGGACCTTCAATCACGACGGCGCGGCACTTCTCTGGAATGCTGGTTGCCATTTTGGAACGATTCGATGTGCAGACGTGTTGCGGAATGGAGTTGAGGGAGTGGGATTGGGAAATATCGATTCGCTTCTCGATATGCTTCAAGAGAAAAGGTGCGAGACGAACACGGGTATAAATGAGTGAAGCTCAAAGATTCCGACCGAGATTGGCAAATGCTGCCTATGGAACAGGATTCGGGCACCCTTTTTCTCAGTTCTGTCCAGAACAACACTCTCCCCTTCCTCCCGCGATCCTCTCGACTTTATAGCGTCATGATGATCGGTGTTGGCACATGTCCGAGAGCCAGGTCCAAAAATCCGCTATCTCCAAACCCCAAAGCTATCCCTGTCCTCATATCCAGTGGGGCTTACGGATGCTGACCACACCCTCTAACCCCGCATTCTCCTTCGCTCTAGGGGCAGACTACGCCAAACTGCTCACTGCTCGTGCCGCATCGGCAAGGATCTCTTCATGACTTCGCCCCTGCAGTCGTGTTTCCGTGACTATCGTGGCTGCTGGATTACTGAACGTCTACTTTGTAGAGGTGACAAGGGAAAGTCAGCTTCGAACCCGGCAACCTCGCCGACAAAGCCATCGTCGAAGCCGCTTTCGACGACCGTATATCAGCGCTTTTCGGCTCAACCGCGTTTTCACAACATCACAGACCTACAGATGGTCCCGTATATGCGATTTCCCCGTTATCACCGTGTGGAGTCCTTTGGGCTCGTGCTTACTCTGACCTAGTCGGTGATAAGACCCGGTGTCCGATCTTCAAACATGTGTCGACGGCACAGAAGAGTTGGGCGGAAGCCATCCACGCCTGCACATGGCTAAAAATCGTACAATCTATTAAGTACATGGGGTATCATCAAGCTTTTTCAGAGAAACGAACATGCCACTTCACACCCGGAAGCAATGCATCTCACCAATTATCAAAGTTGCCAAACCCTCCTCCCACCTTCGACTTCTTCTTCACGGGCACATCCACCTCCTCGTCCCACTCTGCCACAACCTCATCTTCCTGTTGCTGCTGCTGCTCCCTCTTCGCAGCCTGCAGGTACTTTCCAACGCCCAACCCACCCCCATCCCCACTCTCCACAGTGCCGTCTCCTCTGATTCTCTTCCCCGTCCACGTCGTCCTCTCATCTGCCCTCCCACCCTGCCTCTTGATCTCCTCCTCCTCAGCCTCCTTCGTCTCCTTCTCCTTCCGCTCCTTCTCCCACTCCTCAAACGGGTCCACAAACACCACCACATCCACAATCTCAATGTCCCTAACCGGCCTATCCTTCTCTCCGACCTCCGCCCTCTCCATCGCTGTAAGCGTGGTATCTAGCCCGCCCACAACGCGCGCAAAAATGGTATGCTTCCGATCCAGGTGCGGTGTCGCCCGGTAGGTGATGAAGAATTGACTGGTATTGGTGTTCTTTCCCTTATTCGCCATGCTCAGCACCCCGCGTTTATCGTGCTTCTCAGGTCCATCAAACTCGTCGTTGAATGGCTTCCCCCAAATGCTCTGCCCGCCCCGGCCAGTACCCGTAGGATCCCCGCCCTGGATCATGAAGCCCTTGATGTTGCGGTGGAAAATGGTTCCGTTGTAGTACCCCGATTTCGCGAGCTTGACGAAGTTCCACACTGCGCGGGGAGCGAATTCGGGAAGGAGCTCGATGTTCAGGTCGCCTAGAGAGGTGACGATTCGTGCGTAGCCCTTGTGTTTGACGCGCTTCGGCTTGAGCATGTACTCCTCGTCGGACAGAATAGCGCGCTCGCCCGACGTGTGCGGAGTGACGCCTGTGGACGTGAACGATGCGGCGGCCTTGCCAGACGTGTAGACGGCAGCGTTGTACGCCGCTTTTGCAGGTGTGGCGAATCTGGAGGCCGCACTGCCGTTCTTTTGGGCTGTCGTAGCGGCCAGAGCCTTACTTTGTGCCTTTCCATTCGCCTCTGCCTGCGCTTTCGCAGCTCGCTCCGCCCTCGCTCGTGCCACAGCCTCCTTTGCCTTCACTATCTTCCCCGCGCTCCCCAGCGCCTCGGGATTCACCCCACTCTCTTCCTCCGGCACCACCGTCTCCCCATCCTTGATGTGCTTGTAGGCCCCGAAGTTCCTCGACTCAATGTTCTGCGGATCCTGCAAGGTGATGATGTCCTTTCGGCTGAACTCCTCGTCGCTGACCAGATCCCGCCAATTCTTCGCCTTGATGTTGAGCCGCTCGACCGTCTCCCACGAAAACACATTGCCCGTGTTCCGCAGCGCCACAATGTGCGTGTTGTCCGTGAAGACCTTGTACGTCACGGGATCGACGTACTCGCCATCGTCGTTCTTCGCGAAGTGCAGCGCGATGAGGTCAGAGCGCTTCAGCGGCGTGCCGTCCACGGGATTCGTGTCTGGGTGTTTCGACAGCCATGTCAGGATGTGCGTGAGGTCGAATATGGTTCCCGAGGCCGTGCAGACGGGATCGGTGAATGGCTGGAGCGAGACGGCGCAGTAGTTGAAGGGGAGGCGCTTGAAGGATGCGGCCTTGCTGGCGTCGCTGCCCGTGTTGGCGCCGCGGGAGGCGCTGAAGCTGTCGGAGGAGGACCACTCGGAGTGTGTAATATACAGTTTGTCGGTGTTCTTGCCCATCTTTCCAGAGTGGGATGCAGCGTTGTGACGTTGTATATGTTTGCAAGCTCGATGGCGAGCTACCGTTAACATTTCATGCCAAGCAAATGACTTCAGCGTAAAGCATTAATGCCAAGAGACTTAGACGACAGTTTAGGCCTCCGACGTGAATATTCATTGTCCCCCCATCTTTCTCGAACGCCTGCGTGAGACACAGCCTTCGTTCTCTGGAGACCCCGACCTTTGTAGGCAAGCAGAGCGATCCTCAAGAGACCATTTGTTGCCTCATTAGCCTCATCTCGTGTACACTAACTGATAATTTTTCGACCTTGTACTGATTCTATCGACCCCCCAACGATATTAATGTAACAGGTGCGTGCAGCCGCAGCCCACTCGCCATCAACACTCTCCAGACGTCACTTCTCTATACTCTCTCTCTCTCTCTCTCTCTCTCTCTTCTCCTTCTAGACGTCTTCTTCGTCAACTATGTCATCAATATACTGGCAGCGTCTTAAACCACTGGGTTCGAGTGGAACTGCTGTTCCAATTTCGGCTTCTCCATCTAGAAATCTGGATGGCGAGTCCGTCCCCCGGGAAGTCTTGTTTTTGTCATCACCATGGAACTTGTGCTGGCATTCTTTGATTCTTTTCTCGAGAAGAAACATCATCTTATTCCCCAGTATTCTCTGTGCCAGCTTTGATTTTGAGCATTGGAGTGTTCGACTCAGGGCCTGCTCGGCGGGTAATGTCGTTGGCTGGTACGATACTCTATTCCTGGGTTTGGAGCATCAAATTCGTTCCACGGAAACCGACCGCTCCTACCACGGCAATTCTCTGTCCACAGCATGTACACCACCTTCATCGCCTCCTCGATCTGAGCGAGAGTTGCAGACCGGACAATCGCCGGGTGCCCATGCCGCGTCCGAGCTCGTAAGTCCGGCCTCGACAGGAGCTGGCAGATTTTACTGACCAGCGTGCGCGATATTCCACTTTTTCTCCCTTTCTCGCCTCCAGTCATTTTGTCTTAACGTGAATGCGTTGAGCCGCGATGGCGTACTTGAGGTGAGCCAACTCACGTTCCTGAATCTGCTCACAATCCTGCAGATCGCCCAACCTTTCGGCGCACTGGAAAAGAGCCTTAGACACTCGGCCTTGAAGCAGTTAGGACAATATGGCATACGTAGAGATGCCGAGCGGTGGATTTCCTGGTGGCATTTCGTGGCGAATCGAGGCGGGTGCGCCGTCCGTTGGATCAAGTAATGGAAGTCGGGATGGCTAGGTATATTTCGAACGAACGAACTTTGGACAAGCGAAGATAACGATGTGCATAGTTTTTGAGGACGAAGAGGGAATCTCCGAGAAGATAGCAGTCAAGATGCACTGTGGCACCACCGTCGGGGACGGACGGGGCAGCGCAGGGCAGGCCCGGAGCGTTCGAAACCTTTCACCGCCACGTGACGAAGTGGCCTTCACATCGTTTTGCCATTGTCATTGACGATAGGCGGGTGGGGAAAGCAAACGGTCCCGCCTCAGGTGCGTGGTGTTATCCTCCCTCCTTCGCCTCAATCCATCCTCTGCGCCTTTTGCTCGCTCCCCCGCGATAACCTCAGGACCTGTCAGATCGTTGAGGATGGCGGAGCAACCAGATCAACCACCTCGCGGCGCATCCGCCTTCAATCCCAACGCGCCGGCTTTCCGGCCGTCTTTCAACCCCTCCGCGCGCTTGTCTCCTCTCATGGAGCATGAACCGAGCCTCCTCACAGTCGCTGCTGATGAGCCAGGACAGGAGCAACCAAGGTCATTCAACCCCTCCACCCAGTTGTCTGCCTTCATGGAGCCGGTAGTGCGCCCTGATCTGGTTCTTGCAGGTCCGGCTTTCACGCCCTCTACCCGGTTATCCTCCTTCATGCGGCCTGCTGGTGCTCCCGATATGTTGGCGCCTTCCCGAGGATCTTCCAGCCTCCTCGCCTCTTCCATTGCTGAGACTGATGATTTTTCTTTCATGGCAAGTACCCGTAGATCTGGTGTCATAGGGGACCGGGGTGCTGCTCAAAATCCAGCAGTGAGCGGACCGTCGGCCGGTCTTGGCGGTGAGTTTCGAGAGCCCAATCCACAGAGCACGCTTGCTAACTCCTCCCCAGCGACGAGTTCTACGCCAACCACTATGCTAGCTGGTTTGGGTGCACTTTTCTCACGCGCTGGAAATCCGGAGACCCCAAAGCAGTCCTCCGTCCAGAAAAGTGCTAACGCGAAGAAGTTCTTGCCCAGGTCCGGACCGTCTGTTGGTAAGGCTCATGGCCGTACGGACCCACACTGGGGACACTCAACTGATTACACAAAAGCACCGCCTGTTCTTACGACTGGTGCCACTTCTCTTGTCTTCGACAGCTCGGCTTCTGGGTCGAAGCCTACCCAGGGAACGGCCCAGCGCCCGGAAGTGAAGAGGGAGGCCGGTGAAGGTGAGCCTCTTCAATCTGTTTATCAGCTCACTAACTGATAACCAATAGCATACACAAACGTCACTAAATCTGAAAATCCTCCAGCCAGGGGCACACTCGCACTCTGGAGTAAGATCGAAGGAGATATGGCTCAGCGTAACCCCGCAGGCTGGGCTGCTCTGGCGCAGGAGGAGTTTAAGCGTCTCGTCAACACGTATCACCCTGGCCTGATCCCTAAGGATGTATTGGAGGAGCATATGCGTAAGTATAGTCAGGTCTATCCTGTACAAGACGAGAGCAAAGTCGCAGGCTTGAAGGGTGCAGAGAAGAAGCCAATAGAGAAAGCACCTGTGGACGATGCCGACCTGGGAGCTACGGGGCCCACTCGAGACGTGCCTCCAGCGATTGGTGCTGCAATGCCATGTAAGCAAAACTCAGACTAAATTGTCTTAACCTTAGCTAACAAAGAGCAGCGGCACAGCGGACCGTTGCCCACGGACTGACCCAAGAGGCGCCAGCTGTTCCCAGCTCGAGCGCAAGTGCAGCCTCAGCAGATCAAGGTAAGCAGCTGGAGAAACCCTCCAAGTGCGTAACTAATTCGCAACAGTGCACAATACACCGCATCACCAAAAGCTTGTCCCGGGGCTCGACGCGCGAGGTAATTTTGTTCTGACGCCCACAAGGAAGCTACGCGGCTTATATCCTTCTCAAGGCCTCGCTACACCTACGTCCCGCGGTGCACAGGACATCACAACACCGAGCACGCATCATACTTCGATTGCTGGGCCTTCGATCGTCCACCCATCGCCGGTGAGTTACTCGCCGGGGCCGCACTTTCCTCGACTGGGTGAGGAGCCGCAGCAGCAAGCGAAGGACGACCAGACGATCCAGATACCGTACCCAGGGGGTCCAGTCAAGCACAACCCGTACAGGACACTCCCAAAGATTCCCCAACCGAAACTGAATCAGCCCAGGTCTACTCCAATCAACACCACCATGAACCGTCCGGCGCACACCCGTAGTGGCCCAAGGAGGGGACCTCGTCCAAAGCGGCTCGATCAAGGTCCGGGTGCTTCCCCTGCAGACATCTACCCGGACGACTCGCCCATGAGCGACGAGAACAGAGCGCGAGCCAGTACATTGAGCGGCGGCACCGAGACAAGGCCTCGAGCTGATACTGGTACTGACCGTGTCATTGCGCGCCCTCCTCCCGACCCTTTCGTTGACAATCCCGTAGTGAATTTCCCTGTTGCGCCTACTTTCCCAGCTGCACCCACGACGACAAATGCAGGTGGCATGGATATCAACCCGGCCTATGTACCAGATTGGGAGACCATCAACACCCGGAGCCAGAGCAGCGCCGAGCCCATGCGCACGTCTTCCCAACCCACGCGATTCAACTCCGCCTTCAACCCCTATGTCGGAGGGCAGGTCAACCAACATTACGACATGGGTACTGGTTTCCGGGCGCCAGCGCCAATGTCTGGCTATCACGCACCTACGAGTTATCAATATGGTCAGTATCTAGGCTACCCAACGCTCAGCCCCATCCCAGAAGGCTCAAGTGAACAAACTCCTGAGTTCAATGCTTATCGTACGGTTACGCAAGGCCCTGTTGAAGCCCCACGCAGCGCGGCTCTTAGTGGAATCAGTGATCTGCCCTATCCTTCACCACTGCCCGTTGTCTCACCAGCACTCCAATTTCCTTCGGCTCCGGCCACCTTCTCGCAGACCGGCGCACATGCGGCTCAACTACCGATGCTTCAAGATCGCCTGGCTGTTCCTAAAACCCCCATGGAGCCCGACCAGCTTGATGGAAGCCGGTATGGATTGCAGAGGTATGGACTGGGACTCCACAAACTGGGTGATGTCTGGATGCCTCCTCGGCCGAAGCCAGGCACCCGCTTTAGCAACGTTGGGTATCTCTGGGGCCACACTTAGGATCAGCTAACATACAATGGGCCTATCGGTAATATCCTCAGAGCAGCAACAGCGGCCGACCATCCGAAACATTTGGCGAATACGGTTCTCGGATATCACCACATCTAATGAGAAGGCCGATCTAGCTAGAAGACGGACTTGCGGCGAGTGAATGCGGGGGATCTAATGGAGTGCTCTGGATTGCATAGATGCCTTCATTCCTGGACATGCAATGCACACATGAGCACATTTGGGCTTACAATGGGTGAATGAAGAACACAGATAGATGCCGGGAGAAGTCGTCTGCGCTTCGATCCGTCTAGCTCTTCTTCATCCTTCATCTTCAGGTTGTAGATCACAATTGAGTGGAGGGTTTCGATCGATAATATTGTCCCGTCATCATGTCATTGTCATAAACCGTGACTTCGTGCCACCTCATATATACCCTTAAATCAACAAGGCGCCAAATCCCAATGCGAAACCTTTCAGGAATCAATCTTCAACGGCGAAATTTTGACTCATTTCCTGCTCCTCCAATGTCTGGCGATCTACCCTAACTGCCAACCTTTCCGCATCCGCCCGTCCCCTCTCCATATCCAGCCACCATATCAATGGCCCAGGCAGAACCGCCAGCCCGGCCAGAAACGCAAAGGCCGGTCGAATCTTCCCGGCTCGGTCCACTATCCACCCAACGAGCGCGGGCCCGATAGCACTACTTCCCTTATCCGTGACCGCGTACAGGGCAAAGAAGGCCGCCTCTCTCCCCTCGGGAATCAGCGGCGCAAACACGCTCCTCGCATACGACGATATCCCGCCCATGATGAAGCCGTGCAGAGCACCCAAGGGATAAATCTCCCATGGCTGCTGCAATCCGCCCACACCCGCACGCTTGATAAGCGGAATGTATCCCATCAACCCGTATATTGGAATAATCTCCATCAGCACTATGCAAGCTAGCAGCACGGTCTTGGGTGGCCAGGAGAACCGTGCAGCGATGCGAGGCCAGGCGAACGCTCCCAGGATCCCGAAACCAATGGACGTGATGGACAGGAGAGCGATGGGGATGGTGTCAAGGTTCAGCTCTGTGCGGGCGAAGAGGACGGCGGTGCCGGAGACGGTGGCGATGGCGTCGGAGAGAAGGAACCATGCGATCAGGAAGAGTACGACCTGCTTGAGGCGAATGGCGAGTTTGACAGTTGCCCAGAAAGATGTGAGAGAGAAATAAGCATAGAAGAGGAATGTGTGTAACCGGGAAGTAGGGCCGTGGTGCTTGGAATATTGGGCTGGGAGTGGAGGACCGGGCCTTGAGCGAAGGAACAGGAGCGTAGGAATGGAGAAGAGAGCCCACCATATTCCGACACAGAGGAGGATGACTCGCATGGGGATGCTGGGATACCGTTTCGCGACACTGGTTTTGGAGAAAATGAAGAGAATCAAGATGCTGATGCATTGGAAGAGTACAGCGGCGATGTAGCCTAGCCCTACGCCTTTGGAGGATATCTTTGCGGAACGCTCGAGGTCGCGGGATAGCTTCTCAGGGTCTGAGCGACGGACGGTAGACCCGGGATTGAGGGATTCAAGCTCCTGCCGTGATAGGAGAGATTCCGCGGACTCGTCGTCGTGGTTGGATACCAGCAAAGGTAGAAAGGCGTTGAGTAAAGAAAACGAACATCCAAGACAGGTTACGCCGATGATGACGAGAAAAGGAGCAAGAAAGTAGATCGCGGGTGAAATGAAAACAAACAATGCGCTTGCGACTGAGCCAGTGTATGCAAAAGTCAGCAACATCTTCTTTCGGTACGGCCCTGATAAACGAGTTAGCATATCTGACACAATAAAGGATCGAAGAAAAGAAGTCCACGCGGCTAGATGCGCACATACCATGATCGGCGAAGGAACTTAGACAAATCAGAGTTACCGCTTGAACCAGCACAGCGGCTGAGAATGTATACATGGCGAAACTGGACGTCGTAATCTCCCTCCCAAGAAAATTGATCATACACTGCTCCTCTCTGCTTTCATCGTCTCGAATCCTGAACCCATTCGGCGATCCGGAGCCGACGGGCGCAATACATGGCGCTGATCGATTCGAGAAGAGAAATCCACGTTCCCGGGCCAGCTGCTCCAAAGTTACTGGGAGAAAGGATCCTATCAATGTCAGATTTTGTCCTACTGGAACGTGACGGACGTATGCTTACCAACTCCCACCACAGCGAACACCTCGGCAGCTACGGCGTACGAGTACCAGCCATTAAGCTCTCGTGGAGTTGTCCGGCTTGTGTCTTCATCCTCGTAGCGACCGGACAGACGAGGTCTCAACTCCTCGTCGAGGGACATTTTGTATGCTGTTGAACATGGTGAATGCTGACAAGAGGGACTGGATGTCTTCCGTCATCAGGAAACGGACCGCGCTAACTTTTTCAGGATTAGCGAGCGCTCGGAGTTAACTGATGAGGACCTCCGCCTGGGTGATAGAAAAGTGTCGCTTTGAATGCAAAACTACTCTTTTCGCTGCTGTATTACTCAAGACCTAGACACCTCTAAACCTGTAGTATCTTACATAGATGTGGAGTGCGAGTCAATAACAGAGCGCCTTGTGTACAGAGGGAATTGCGCTGCAATATCTCATCCGCTCACGTACTGTGTACACAGTCCTCCGTAAGCGCCGATGCTTGACCATATGGTCTGACACTTGGCTCTAAGAGACTCCAATCATCTTAGGTAAATCCACTCAAAACGCAATGCTGGTCGCTGGCCAAGTTTTCCATTGTTTTCGACTGTCTTCCTCACCAGATCGATTTGTCAAAGGAGGAGTAATCAGCTCGTCTGGACCTTCACGATACAAGTACACGTGCAAGAGCGAATCTTCATCTATATACTGAGTAGGCCATTTCTAAACAGAAGATTTCATGAGGATCAGATTTCTTCAGGTCATCGTACAGCATCCTACCGAATCTCCCTGAACTTCGATTTCAATTCCCTTGGAAGATGTCGCATCTCCAGTATTTCAGTTATGAAGGATTCGGCGACCGAGTGAGAAAAGATACGCATTACAGTCAAGCTGTCCGAATAGGGGATGTGGTCAAGATATCAGGTCAGGGTATGTAACTGTGCCTTCATTGATGGTTTGATGCGGAAAGCAGCTCTGACCGGGTGGCAGGAGGATGGGATCGAATAACGGAGAAAATCCCAACGGATATCGAGAAGCAAGTCGCTCAGGCGTTCGACAATGTCGAGCATACTTTGCAGAAGGCTGGAAGCAAGGGATGGGAACAAGTGTATCAAGTCCGGATCTACTGCGCACCTGACAGGTCAAAGGCGATGGGACCTATTATTTCGAACCTGAAGAAATATTGTCCAAACCACCAACCATTACTGACAGGTGTGGAGGTTGCTAGTTTGTACAACGGAATGGCTATCGAGATCGAAGTGGAAGCTCATCTGGGGTGAAATCTGAATTTGAGAAATGTCAATTCTCTGAGGGAATAACTACAGCTTTATGTAAGAATGCGGGTTTCTTACTGACGGGCGGAAGACTGCGTACTTTCAGATGTAGTTTTGAAGGCCATTTCGAAGCAGATGGCACCAGGGGCTCGCAGAAGACTGTTCCAATTTGCAGGCAGGGTCTGAGGAATGTTCTGTGTACAGCAAATACTGCTTGATTTACTGACAACCGAAAGCAGCTGAAGGCGACCATGCGACTTCTCCTACGGCACGGTGCGGTGAATGAACTACTACGGCTTTCCACGTCCGACTGAACATCTGGCTGCAATTCCTCTGTAGGTGGAATTACCTACCTAGCACAAGCTAACTAGCTATAACTTAATAATGCGACAGGTAGAATTTTCTTTTTAAATATACTACTATACGTAGAGGCGCACTATAAAGCTAATTGCAGGACCGCTTATATTGCTGCACCTGCTAGCTGTTTAAATTAGAAAACAGCAGTACAGAGGAAGTGCAGTGGGGTGTTTAGTCGGATGTGAACAGAGACTGTCCTGTGATGACAACTTCAAGCGAGGCCCACTTTTAGCTCCATAGCTTTTCTAAATATTGACGGCAGCCTGCACATGGCTAGGCCGTCTGAATACGACATTGCACTCCCCTACTTCCCACCCATCGACCCTGCAGCTTTCATACGGCAGAACAACGACAAACCGGGTTGGCCTCACCACCTGCATCACCGGCGCCATCACCTTCTCTTCCATCTCCAGCCATTGCCGCTCCCACGTTGCACGCCAGGGAGTAACCTCGGTCAGGGTGACGAATAGATCCCTGAGTCCTTGCATGTTGGCGAGAATTTCCCAGCCATTCACCCAGTTCGCCGTGTCCTCGGGATAAGCGTAGCGCTTGGACGAAATGGACCGTTTGAGGAAGGGCAAAGTGCGAATAGTCCAGCGCAAACGAACAGTACGGATTGAATCCAGCCTTACGGCGGGAAGACGACTTGGGAGGTGGAGGAGGTGGGTTATATGGAGGAAGGAGAAGGTGTGTGGCGTATAGAGGTAGGGCATTGTTTCGAGGTACCTAACAAGGTCAGATACGGGAAGGAGATGGTAGGTACAGTTTGGTACTTGCCCTCGTCTACAAGTCTGCATCATAGCAAAGATACCGTCCTCTAATTTCCGACAGTCATTGGACCCACCAACGAGGACCTTACACCCGCAGTCTCTGTGAGACATATCTGCTCTTTCCAGCAAAGCCACTATCTCTTCCAGCTCCCTCTCTTCACACAAGAAATGCCCATATTTTCTCTTCTTCGCGCCCAGCGTCAGGTGCACGGTTTCCCCCTTCTCAACCAGATACTCATACACCATGACTCGAAGTTCATACGGCAGCTTTCCAAAGAAGGAGCTCTGTCGTTGGTTGTGCGTCCGCGCTTGTATCTGGCGGTCATTCTCATCGTCACCAGTAAATGATAGAGTCGATACGCGGGCTGTCCAAGTAGGAGAGCGCCGATCTCTGACACCAGCTCCGCTCGTCAATTCCTCAGGTTTCGACTGGGCATTTCGTTTTTGTTTGTCCCGCCGTGGGAAAGGTAGCGAGATACGATGTGATTTTGGCTTCTCACTCCTTTCGCCGCCTTGGCTGGGGATACCGATATCGTGTGGAACCCAGCGGATGCCGGGTATCCATTTCATTAGGCTGGACGGAGGCACGTGCGAGCTAGAGTATGTCATCTATCAGAGGCGCGCGACAGATTACAACTCCAGAGGCAAACGTCAAAAGGGGGGCCTGCTGGCTGTGAGCCGATGGTCAACTATGGATCAAGAACTTGGGACGACTGGTCGTGATATACCAAGTAGCCATGAAATGGTGCTACGGAGTGATGGCGATTGACGTTTGATGCCAAATCACGCCCTGCGACGGAAGCTAACGCGTATCGGGAAACGAACGTCCGCTCTGCGCGTGGGGTCAATGACATTAACAATCAAGGTGGAAAGCGCCTTTACTAATTATCCTTCGGCTGCGTTGCAACCAGATATGACTATTACATAGTAGATGTGCAGATTGAATGAATCTCTTGAAACAACCAGCCTCACCCATGCCGAAACAATGATCCTTACTCCGTACTGAAAGTTGGAATGCGATCCATTCCTCCATCCCCTTCTCTACCCCTATTCTCAACAGATTCCTCATGCTAACAAACTCATGATTCCAATATGCAACATAGGCAGCCTAGCCGCCGAACAAAACCACCCTGTATACTCCTTTGGTCATCGCGATACCCAGCCATTTACGAGTATATCATCCTCCTGATCGCTCTGGCTCCCCTCGGCAGGAATCCAACAGCGAACCCCAACCTCTGAGCCGTCCTATTGGCTCTTAGTTGTTCCTAGAGGCTTATTGAGATCATAGCCGACCTGCTTGACAATGCCTAGACCTTTTGTCCTCCCCTCACGGAATATGATGCGATCACCGACAGTGATATACTCTGGACGCTGCACAAACCGGAAGGCCACCATGGCGCGGTCGCCGGTGCGAATATACTGCCGATCAATATCGATGATGGCACAAGTCTGGGCGACCGGCCCTACGTGCAGCATAGCCTGATATTTGGTCTTGATGGTGGTTGCGTGAGACAGGATGAGGACCTCCGCGACGAACTCGCGGTAGACCTTTGGCGCCGGGATGGAGCCCGTTGTGGGATCTGGCTTGTCAGGTTTGTGTAGAACGACCATCCCTTTTCGAACATCCTTGCGCCGGAGGTTGCGCAGCGCCAAAGAAGCACTTTGGCCGGCACTACACCCTGGAACTTGTATGCGTTTGCGCTCGATGGAGCGGACCTTGGTTGTCGTGAATTGTCCCAGCGAGTCCGGCCCGATCAGGACTGTGTCACCGGCGTGGATCTCGCCGGATTTGACGACCCCTGAAACCACGGTGCCGACAAACGGCACCGAGAATGTGTCGTTGACATGGAACTCTAATGCTGCGTCGGGATTGTAGTTTCCATAATGAGGCAGTATGTTCAAAAACGTCCGGACGAGCTCAAGGTTATGACCGGTGACGTTGGAGACTTGAAAAATGGGACAGATTCGCCGTGACACAAACTGAGTCGCCGTGTTGATGCACTCCTCGCGGTTCTTGATGAAGACGGGAATTTTCCTTGCGCCAGGCGATTTCAGAATCTTGGTCAATTGCGTGATGGTCTGCTCCAGGATATTCGGCGGGCAAATGTCAATTTTCGTTATTATGACCATGACTGGCACGTTCAGGGAGATAGCTATGCCAAGGTGCTCTCTAGGAACATGTTAGCCCATGGTTCCAGTGCTAGTACATGGAACTGCCCAGGTGTTGTGAGACTCACTTGCTCATACCAACCAAGCCGTTGTTCGCCGCCACCATTAAGAGACAGTAATTGGGCTCACTGCTCAGTAGGCCGAAGACCGTCGTGCGAAGATATCGCTCGTGTCCCGCCAAGTCCGTGAACCCTATGACTTTGGCCTGTCAACGTCAGTATTAGTGACGTCGTGCAACACTTTGCACCTACAGAACGTCGGCCAATCTCCTCCCAAGTCAGCTTCCGGCCCGCCACATTTGACACAACTACCTCGCCTTTGCTGTCGAATCCCATGATCTCCATACCGACCGAGCTGGTCCGACCACTCTCAATCTCGTGCTTGTGGCGGAAAAGATTGACCCGGGCTTTGCCACGGCCATCATCGAGCCCGCCTTTCACTAGTACACCCAGCATCGTGCTCTTGCCTGCATCGACTGCCATATCATGAGCTTCTGGTCCACGGATGCAGCGGGACACTCACCATTTCCCACGACAGCTATCCTCGTCTCAATGACCTCGTCCACGCTCTGTGGCTTTCGCCTCAGAAGCAACTTGCCCGAGACCCCTCTATCCTTTGCGCTCAGAGGGCCTACCTCCACGTCTCCGCCCACGTTTCGTGTCATCAATATCCTGTAATCCGCCTTCAGATCGTCCAATGCCAATTGTAACCGCTGTAATGCCGCGTCCCAATCATCTTTCGAGAGGCCCATGGAGTCGCCATTGTCGTCCAGACCGAGATCGAACAATGTCTCCCCGTGTCCCTCCGCTATACGACCACGCAGATATTCCGTCAATGCAGTCGCGTTTTCCTCTGCAGGGCCGAGTAGCAGTGTTTTCAACGGTAAGCGCGAAGATTTCTCCTCGGCAAGGTCCAGCTCATCGAGGAAGGCAAGCTCATCGTGGTCTTCTAGTGTGGCCGGGCTCTGGCCAGGTGGACGGCGGAGCTCCTGCTGCCTCTGAACGTAGTCTGCGAACTCGGAGAGGGCCTAGCAGATGGTTGTTAGCGATGCGCTCTTGGGAGTGGCGGAGTAATCGAGCAGCTCTGGAGGTACCCACGGAGGTACTCCGCCAGACATGGCAGGCCTGAAGTGGGCGCCTGTGGAGCAGCCATCAGAAAGAAGCTGAGGCCCGTACCGATTCGCCTTTTCTTCGCTCAACGGGATTCTGCTTCGCGTTCGCCTGCCGCGAGGTCATGGTGTGAGTCCCAAGTGAACAGCCAGCTGGTGCTAGCGGTGGAGGGCAAAAGCGCTCAATGAAAAGCTCCCAGGTAGGTTTCTTCCTCTCTTGTCGTGTAATGGTTTATATCGAGTTTCGACAGGTGTATTGGCGTACCGATTCAAGGATCGCGTAGGACTTGTGCTAAGGTGTGCCGAACTCGTACGTGTAAGTAATTCCGTACCCGTATGCAGCGCATATATTCCATGGAACGAAGTCTCCGGTGTTGCATTGATTCGTAGTCGGCGCTGGTCAGCGATGGAAAGACAGGTATGCTTGGGAGAGGAGACTCAGAAAGGTGCCAGATGCGCTTGTCTTAAGCTGTGTATTTATCGATAAGGATGGCGAGTCAGAGGCGGGATGAATGACGCAGGGACCACCGGGCTGTGTGTCTCCAGGACACATTTGACTCACTGTACCATGTCCATTTCACCATTTATCACTCGAATCATCAGAGGGACTGGGCTTGATTGAAGTAATACCGAATTCCCCAATGTTCCACTATTGGTGCTGTCGCCTGGAGCTTGGGTGGCATTGGGATCCCCCCACCCGTAACCCGACCTCCAGCTCCAACCCTTCAAGGGCGCGCACTCACAGAAAGGGCGAAGAGGCGGACTGGACAGCAAGTCCACGGCCATCCGGTATAGAGAGTCATGATTATGGACGCCTAGGACGCTGCCACACCCCTCTCGCTGCAATACTTTGCCACCTCCTTCCGGAGCGTCTCCTGCTGGTGATTCACCGTTTCCATAATGTCACTGACTCCCTGAACAGAAGAGCAGTGGCTGGAAGCATCCATCATCTGCCGCATTACTGCTTGAAGCTGGTTCGGCAGCCACTATGCAAGTTAACTTTCGTGCACTGGAGAAGTCATGCGCAAGTACTCCGTACTCACCGTAACGATTGGGCTTCCGCCTGTTGCTGTGGGATGCGAAGTACGCTTCAGGATGTATTCACGGGTGAAGCACCAATGCCGCCATCGGAAATCGCGTACTTGGTCCAAAGCCTGTAGGTAAAGGGCAGCAGATACGGAGTCTTGAAGTGCAAAATCTTTAAGGCCATTCTTCGCAGCTGAGTCGTGAACTGCCTCTAAGAACTCCCGATGGTTTCCAGGACGATACTGGCGAAAGTCTTTTAGAATGTCTGTGAGCGGCGTTTTTGGCATTTTGATCTGGAGTAGATTGTCGCAGAGAGGTATCTATTTCCCTTAGTTGAAGTATGCATATAAGACCCATAGGCTCACCATGCTGTCATTCGCCCCTGACTCCCCTCGAAACGACATGGGTTCTTCACTGACTCCTTCATAGACAACTCCGTTGGGGAACATAGACTGGGAAGTGATGCCAAAGATGAATGTACGGAAAGTGGTGTAGCTCTGAGGCTTGCTGCGGTTCCACATCGCTAGCTATGTGAGCCTTCCAAGGTTTCCTTGAACTAATCGAAGCTTGTAGTCGAGAACTCACTATTCATGACTGCATTCACTTTTCTTAGTCCCTCAACGAGAATCCGAAGTCCCGCATCGAACCTTGCCCTGTCGTTACCCGCCACTGCGTTCAGCATCTCTACAGCTGCTGTCACGAGTGCACCGGACTCTTTGACCATGGCAATATGCACTAAGACGAAACCAGCCTCAGAGGACGTGGGGTCAAGGCCATGCTCAAATGCGCGGATTAGCCGCAGGTTCGCGTAATCGAGTCCTTTGTCTTTCTCCTCCAGACGGTAATTGAACAACGCGTAGGACCCGGCATACTCCATGAAAGGTTGAAAACCGACACTGAGAGAAAATTAGTCAGAGAACGTGATAGAAAAAGTGGAAAGTCGGATTTATGCTGCGGGTATCGATACTTACATAGCAGCGATCTTGACGATCGGCAGAGCAATACTCCTCGGTAATGACTGCCGTCCAAGCCCGTATGGCTCGCCCTTGAGGAACCTTTCGTGACAAGGTTCGAGAAGATAAGCCGAGGCGAGGAAGGAATAGTCGCGATAGAGTGCATTCATTAAGACAACGTCATCTTTATACTTGTGAATCTCATCGGTGAGGTCGGGTAGCTCCTTGAGCACAGTATTCCCAAAAGTGAAGGTCGCGAGAAGGCCTGGCTCCCCGGAAAGGGTCCTCACGGGCATGCGATTGAGGATGGACTCAACGGCCGCAAACTCCTTTGGAAGGTCCACGACAGGCTCCTGTCGGGGGAGGAAGCCCCTGGTGGTAGAGACCATGAAGGCAGGGATAGAGTGGTCTTGGGGAAAGGTATCCGTTAGGACTGGGAAGTCAAATACTGAGGAAGCCATGGCAGTGGTGTTTTATCCAACGGAGTCCGATTGGTTGAGAGATGCGAATCGAAGTTGCTGCTCTGATGATTTAGAACGCCCAACCCACAGAGTCTGCTTATATCTTGAGGCCGGAACTCTTCCGGCCACAAAAGAAGCTCAATTCCGGCCAACCCACCAAACGAATCATAGAGGTACGTAATCGAGCGTATGACCCAATGCACCTCATGACATTTGCTCCGTTGCAAACCTGCAATGCCCGACTCACCCTTCAAGCCCGAACTACTTGCACAGAGGGTCCGCTGGGTGATATACCGCCTCCTCCCACGTCCGACTGAACAACCCCCTGTACTTCCAATCCAAGTTAGAATACGTATTTGAAGAAATCCAATTGGCTATGTTCTAGTTACGCCACGAGGGCACGGCGTTTTACGGCTGGTTATACCTGGAAGGAGGCGCAGAAAGGGCTAATTAGAAGGTCAATACACCCTATGCGCACGGTCGTGTTCAGTCGGACGTGAAAAGATGCAGTACCGTCGCGGCCAAGACCTGAGAGTGGGTAAAGGCGAGGTACTTTGGTGAGCGCACGTGGATACAATCTTTGAGGTCCTAATTCTCTTTAGAATTGACCTTTGCTGCTACTGTCATCTCTGTAGTCGTTTCCTGGACGCTAGTAGTTGTAGCAGACCACATTCCGTCAGCATGTGCAGGATGAGTTCTGCGAGAACATAACTCTGGAATAACTCTGCTTTCGCCTTGCGTTAGGTCGTCTGCTCTCTGGACTGTGAGAGTCAAGAAGCCTGCTGTAGTTTAAACCAACCTTCGAAGAGCGCACTTTCACTTGTATTGCGCACGCTGTGTTTCCATGTCCGACCGAATAGCGTGGAGTCGCAGGGATATGGCGGCCCTCTGTGATTAGCTCTACAGCGCCTCTGCGAAGGGATAATTGGCCTTAGAATCGAACTGCACTCGGAGTCTAATGAGAACGCAACCATTTGAGCTGCATCTACTAGGCAACCTAACGTACAGGGGAAGTGCATGGCCGTGTGTAGTCGGGGCCGGCGGAACATACAGATCGTCTCACCGAAAGAGCGGCCAATCCTAGTCAGGAACAACAAGTTTCTCACTTGTAATTAGGTAAACGAGCACAGTTGCGCTCTTCGCGAGCCAGTAGTTATCGTAGACTGTCGGGGTGGCGATCCTGGGCTCGGTACCAGCCTTTTGCCTCGGCCGCTATCCGCAGGACCATCACCCTTTCTTGCGCCGTTGCAAACGCTGCACTTTTAGACTTGAAAGAGGAGTGCAATACAACCTTGCCCAGTGATTGAAAGGCAAGGCTGACTAGTGGGAGTGTAGAATTGCATTGTTTTGACGCGGATAAGTGATTCATAGGCTCGCTGGCCCATATCGAAAGTCCATTTCAAAAGGGGTCGAAAAGAGGGGTCCCAAAGCCCCCTCACCTGATTAAATTCATAGTATGCGCCTTTGGAATCTTCCCAACAATAAAAACAGGGCCGGTAACTCAGTGGTAGAGTGTAGGACTGCAGTTGAGCCACGCCGCTTTCCCGAAGTCACCGGTTCGACTCCGGTTCGGCCCTCATTTTTGTCCCTTGGTGGTCGCCCTGCGAATCAGGAGGCCTGGTTTTTGTTCTGACAGACCATACGAGAGATTGGAAAGGTGATGTGTTAGTAAGGTTTGCGGTATGGTGCAAATATCCACAGAACCATTTCATATCTCTTTTTGGTGCCCTCTTCACAGTTGGAACAGCTTGTATGGCAGCAGAATCAAGTTGTGGTTGGTACAGATGAATGGACTCGACCAGGTTTCCTGGCCGCTGGTTGGTGTGGGAGCGAGTACGAGCTAGACTTGGAACGGCAGGTCATGTCATACAAACGGCAAACGACGAGGGTAAACGACGACGAGGGGCGGGCTCGATGCTGCCATGACAATCAGGCCATTGGCCACCTGTTGACATTTGAGGGGTCGCGGATTCAACTTTTGGGGTTGTTGCAGTCGTGTGTAGCATTCGTAGTCGTTGAACATGGCCTCGAGGAAAGTTAGAGGTTCATGCCAAGCTTTTGCTGACTCATACGCCAAGCAATTCCAGCCATCACTCAAACACCAACGGAACTCTGTTCTGCTTCCTTTCAGGTACAACTGAACACCACACTGCGCTTTCTAGGTAGGTTAAGTTACCTAATTAGCCAAATTCAATTGGCGACTATCCAATAAGTCGAAGAGAGCTTTGAGGCCTCAAAGGTTAACGCCGGACAGATGCGATCAAGCCGGTCTGTCAACCCGCTCCAGCACCAATCCTTTCAGCTGAATGTGAGAAGCGGCAGTACAGAGGAGATGCTGCGGGATTCACAGCCGAACGTCAAAGAGCTAGTACCTCAAACCGTCTCTATTGAATTCTCGCATTCTTCCAAAATGATCTTATGCATCATGCCAAACAAACATCATGTATCTGCGTTGCGTCTCTTTACTCTCATCCAGAGCTTTCTTTCTATGTACCGGTACTTGCAGTCCTGTCTCGATATCTTACATCGACAGTTCTTCACATCCTATTTACAAGCCGAAACAACTAGCATAATACGTAACAGTCGCAGGCCAATCCGAGAACATCCCCATAACACCCACCTGCTGGGCCAGGGCATGCAAAACCGTGTACATGTCACCGTCATTGTTAATCACCTCCTTGACATAGTCGTAGTAATAGCCCCCGCCGGTCTTCAGGAACCCAGACCGTTCGAAGCTCCAACCGATGAGCTTGATTCCAGCCTTCTTGGCCGCGATCGCATACTCGCTGGGGACGATGTTCCTGTTCGAGTCCAACTTGGTGAGAGCGAAGAAAGCGGGTGCGAGAATCCTGACGCCCTTCTTAGCAAGGTCAGGGATGGAGGCCGTGGCATTCGCGTATCCTTCGGGCGTGTCGACGCGCTCATCAAGGTACACGGCCTGCTGGCCGAAAGCAGGCTCGTTCTTGATCCAGTAGAAAATGTCGGCTGGAAGGAATGACTGCAGGAACACACGTTCAGGCTTGATGCCTGCCTTCTTGTATGCGTTGACAAGGTCCTGTGCATACTGCTCTTGGGTGTAGCCGTCAAAGGGCATCTCGACTTCGGGAGTCTTCAACTCGGGAGTGAACTTCAGGCCCCAGCCGTCCACCAGCTTGAGGTACTCGTCATGCGCCATGACGGTGCCGCAAGTGGCATAGAGATCCGTTCGGTATGGCGGGGTACCGGCCATGTACTCGGCCACGGTGGTGCCATTGGCGTTGTAGCCATCCATCTTGCCGCAGAGGGTCTTAAACTCGGCCAGCGTGATGTCCGAGGTGCAGCACTTCGCCTGGGCCGGTGTGCCGTTTCGTGCGGGAGTAAAAGGAGTCGTGCATTTGGCCGCGAGGTTTGGGCGAGCCAGGATGTCGGTCGTCGTGTGCAGGTCGCACTGGGCGTGGCGGCAGACGAGCTTCTTGTCCTTGGTGAAGGCAACGTCGCATTCGATGATACCTGCACCCTCCCTTCTGGCGGCCGAGTACGATTCCCTCGTGTGCTCCGGGAACTGCAGAGGTGCTCCACGATGCGAGATGCTAAAGTTGGACACCTTGAATGGACCCTCGGAGCAGGACTGGAGCTTCTTCTTCAACGGTCCCTCGTCCATGTCCTCAACGAGAAAGTAGGGCCGTGGTCCGACCTGGACATTGAGCTTCTTGTTCTGTCCCTGGCCATGTCCAGGATCCTTGGGGACGACGGCACCGGTCGCAATGCTGATGAGCAGAGTTGATGTGAGGAGGGATCGCATCTTGAACTTTACAACGGCCAAAAAAGATACCCAATAATAATGATACCAGAATCCATAAAATGTCCCTGCGAGCTGCGGTTCCCAGAAACCCGGCCAACAGGGTCCTTCTTATCCTTTCGTCTCAACTCCTCTTGGATAATTCTTTCTGCCGAAAAGGGGGCGGACTACCCGAGCCTCCAGGCCAGGAATACTGCATCTCTGCACCACGTGCAGGATGAAGCCGTATCTGCAAAGCATGAGAAGCCGGACAAGGTGTTGCTGCTAACAACAGGGTGCGGAGGTATCCTAGCCTGGATTTGGAGAAATACCCACATGCCAAGCGCACGTTGCCAATCGGCAGGGCGTCGAGTGATGGTCTCTCGTATCGTTGACATGGGGGCTTGGGAAGATCAGATTTAGCTTCCCATGAAGGGATAGAGAAGACATCATGGACGGGATATTGTTCGCGAGTTGTTGGTAAATGTCCTGTAGTGGATGGAAATAATGCAGTGGGAGTGCAGAGTTTGCGTTCTTCGCGTTTCGAGTTGATCTCGGGGAACGTCTCCATCGTCGGAGCGGAGGCTTTAGCTTCCTTGGGAAAAGACTGACATCATCAAGTTGCGCAACGTTCACTCTATCACTCTCCGCTGGAGGATGAATATCCGCGTCGTTGTCCTTGGCATAAGATCCTCAATACTGCTTGTTGCTGCTCCGATATGGCAGCGTTGTGATTAGCTTCATTATTGCCCTGGTTAGATTCTAGCAAGTTGAGATGCGCTAAGCAAGTTATCTACAGCGACTGTGCGCGTCCGACTGGACATCTCCTCGCAGTTCTTCTGTAGGTGAGGTCTGCTACCTAGCACAAGTCTATTAGCTACATCTAAATAATACAATAATTAGAACTTTACTTTAAAAACTTAACTACATAGATAGAGGCGCCTTAAAGCTACTTGCAAAATTATAGAATGGCTGCACTTGCAAGCAGTTTGCTTAGATGTAGAAAAGAGCAGTACAGAGGAAGTGCAGGGGTGCGTTCAGTTGGATGTGAACAGAGGGAGTACATACCTACATACCTACGGAGGAAGTGCGTGGGGATTGGCTAGCCGGATGTAAAAAAGGGTTCCAGAGGTGCTGGGTTACAGAGGGTATTAGGTGAGACGTTGAAAGTGTAGACTCCTGCTGTTGTTCTACTACTCATATGTCGAGATAAACGGTTGAGATAGGAGTTTCGTCCAATGTTCTAACCCGCACACGGCGTTAAGTTTTGTTATGGCAGTACTCAGTGCAACCTACAGATATCTATTTTTCCTGCTTTGGAACGGCAGCATGGCCCTAATCGCTTCGACCAACAGTTACGTCTCCCCGCTTCGGAACGGCAGCATTGTGAACGCCGTGGCCGGTATGGTCCGTGCATTTGTTGGATGCGGCTCGGAGTGAATTGCGAGCAATCCACCGACCATCTCGCCCGAGATCGTATTGCTGTGGTTGAGAACCATTGAGATTCTGTTTGAGCATGCTGTGTAACTCATCAACTATACCGTGAGCCTAGCTAGCGAGCCTAGCATTATGAAGGGTATAAATGAGCCGCAGCTACCGAGGATAGGCGTCCACCACGAGTGCCTTCTCATCATTCCTCAACTTCACGCTTTCCAAAGTACCAATCCTCGAATACCATGTCTCTGGATCTTTCTAACCCAGGCCGCACCATCCAAGCGGGAGTCATCCTCATGGGGCAAACGGAGATTCTCGATGTTGCCCCCATCGACTTCCTCCATGGCATCAGCCGTCGGTTCATAACAGCACTTCCGGTTCCGGACGAGATCAAGGCTAAGGCGTTGGATATCGACTTCCACTGGGTTACGGAGAAGGGAGGACCGGCGAAACTGACCAGCAACATCACCATGGAGGCTACTGTACGTCGTTCAAAATCTTTAGTGGAGTAGTGAAGGGATGACTGGGCATGTTCTCGGGCGAATGGAATAGAGTGCAGACTGATACGCAGAGCAGGATTCCTACGACTCCTGCCCACGGCTCGATATCGTTCTCATGGGTGCTTATTTTCCTGGTTATACGCCCTCCGATGCCGACCTTGGCTTCATTCGCAAGGCCGCTGATGAATGCGCTGCTTTCATCTCCATTTGCGGGGGCATTGTCCCGGCAGCGCTGGCAGGTGTACTCAAGAATAAGACGTGTACTGGGCCAAGAGAACTGATCCCTCAGTTTCCGGCAATGCTGGATCCAAGCATCAACTGGGTTGAAAAGCGGTGGACGAGGGATCGGAAGGTGTGGACCAGTGGGGCACTGTTGAACGGCCTAGATCTGATGAGAGAGTTTACCAAAGCCTACTGGCCGGAATTGGCAGAGGCCGTTATCCCGTTGGGCGGAATGCCGGTGAGAAGCGCCGACTATGAATACTGAGCCTGGGCACTGTAAATCTGTCGTTCTCTAGCGATGGGATTCGTCGTATCATCTTGAATCTACTCGTGGCCGTTTGGCTTCTCCAGGGTCGGCATCCGCGCCGTGACGTTTCCGTTCTCCCAATGGCCGGGCATTGGCCCCACTTCCGCCTTCTCTGAACCTCTCATCCACCCCATAGTGGTTCTTGTTCCGCGACCTTCTGTCATCGGCATAGTTGCCCCATGTTCCAGTATCCTCCGACCGCATATCCTTGTACTTTGTCCTTCCCTTCTTGCCCAGCTTGGTCATGTCCCTGATCTGCATGTATTCAGGAAGCACCTCACGGTTTGTAGAGTCCTGAAACCTGGCGGCCATGATGTTACGTTTATCGACGCCATACTGCTGCAGTTCTTCTTGGTAGAAGGCGCCCTTGTGATGGTACTTCTGCATGTAGTCCATCTTTCCACGTTGACGACGCTCCTCCTTCTCCTGTTCTTCACGTTGGCGATCCTCGGCCTCGCGCTCTGCAGCTGTAAGGTTTTCGCGCCGCTCTCTCTCAGCCTCTATCTCGGCAAGCTCTGCTTCACGCTGCTCGATGGTCTCGCGCTCTCTCTTCATGCGCTTCAACTCACGAAGCTTCCACGCGGCGTATTCCGCTTCGGGATCTAAGTCATCTGTGTCGTCGATATCATACATGCCCGCATGCTCGGCATCGTCATTCCAGTCCATGGCGGCTTGACCTTGCTCAGCAACCCGTTCTTCAATCTTCTCCTTAACCAATGCATTGACCTTTTCCTGCTTCTTTTTCTCCTCCTCTGCAGCAAGCTCGTCCGCCGTTAACTCGGCAGTTTGCTTGCGCTGGTTTTTCTTCAGGAAAACCGGCCGTTGAAATTTGGGGCGAGTCTCCTCTTCACTGCTGCTGGTATATTCCTCATCTTCAGACGACTCTTCCTCACTGCCACTCTCACTTCCCGACTCTTCGGACTCCTCGCTCTCCGTCTCGAACTCTGCCTCGAGCTGTTTCCGTTCTGCCTCCGACTTCTGGCGTGCGGCAAGATTGCTCTTCAAGGCGGACCTGGGGAACGTCGATGCTAGCGGTGCGGGCTTGGGCTTGACATATGGCTTTGGTTTCTGTTGTTGTTCTTCTTCTTCCGATTCGGGCTCTGACTCGGACGCTGAGGACTCCTCGACTTCGGGGGCCGCTGGTTTCCCGGGGAAGTGGCGGACGCGCACAGGCTGCGCCGTCATCCTTTTGGGCGGCATCTTCGCTGTCACCGAGCTGGGAGCTTTGAGAAGGTTATTCGAACGGAAGATTGCAAGCACTATGTTCGATGGACGCGGGTTGAGGTTTGCGTCGGAAGATGATAATGTGAAAGTGACGCCCAAAACTGTTCGGGAAATTGGCAGCGCGCAGCTTCCCTCTTGGCGTTGACTGGGGTGCACATGCTCCGGCTTCCACGCACGTGACCACTCAAATCCACCTGGGCACCCCCTTACCGTCCCGAAACTCGGCTTTGAATTTGGGACCGTGGAACCCAAAAGCTACTGTGGTTGAAGCCATATATTTTGTAAATGCCCGCAACACACGTCAGCAGAGGGGCGACTGCTGGTTGGCCCATTTTCTTTACGTCTGCGCTCTGATTGGTAGCATCGGCACAGCCACGAGACCCACATTTTACAAAACGTATGGCAGCAACCATAGTACAACACCTCCTCGACACGTGCTTTTGTTCCGCGCCACCCTCAACCCTCATGATTACCGAGTGGTACCTTCAAGGAAACCGTTCCGCGGTGGGGCAGGGCGGGGTAGACATGGCAGACATTCTGAGAATGCCAGAGTACTGTGGTATCAGGGGTAAATATTTGACATTCACCACCAAAGAGACAGGGGTAGGGCATGGGCCATAGAACTGCAGAGAATCTGCCAAGGGTCAGTTTTCATCCTCTCCTATACAGATTACTACTGTTTAGAATAAATTTTTACCTCTAGCTACATCACCATGGTTATTGTAATTCACCTCGGAGTTACCTTCTTCTATCCCCAATATCAGAGATGACAGATCAACGCCAGCATCTCACGCATGATCAGAGACTACAGGTTCAAACACTATATGATGCCGGCTTCACGCTCCATCAGATTG